GTATTTTATGGGAAAAAACCATTGAACTTTCGACACTGTTACCGTTCCCGACACCTCTGAATTAAGTATAAAAATTTTCACTTCTGTCGGCAGTCCCGGAGTACCACTGTTTTTTTTTATTACCACAACCACACAACGACATTTAGTCCCAAACTAAGCAGTGCTTGTACTATGGGTACTAGAAAACTGATATAAATACATATATACTTTTTTCAGTTACAGTCTAGTTACCATAGTACAGACTCTGGCTTGTTTGGTATCAGACGGCCGTCTGTGGGATAAGTGTGAAGTTATTATTATTATAATTATGATATTACTCTACTGTGAACTAAGGTCGCAACCTCTACATTAAGGTTAAAACTCGTGTCATGAGTATATAAAGAAACACCGGTTAGTTACCTTGTGTCGTTAAACTTGGCCACGCTAAAGCAGCTGGAGGAGACAAAGCCTCTCTAATAATATTACTGTACTCTGTGATAGATAAAGCCAGTCATCCACCTGCGGCTACATTTCGCTGGTATCGAACCGGGTTTGAATGGTAATCTATTTCATGGAACTCCTCCTTCACAAAAGAGTTTTACTCGCAGAAGTAGTAGAAAGATGCAACGTAGCGGGCCTAATTGACATAGTGGTTTTACGACACTGCACGCACTTTTTGCAAAGGCACCGTAGCTTCAACAAACCTGTAAGTTACAACTCTTTTGCAGTGCGGTGAAAATCAGAATAATCATGTGTTTTACTTGCTAAGTACCGACGCTGTGGGGTATACTATTTTGATCTACGTAGATCGGCAGTAATTTTAACTTTTTTTTTTCGAGATGAACTTGCTACCGCGAATACTTATCCGCACTAATATTATGCATGCGAAAGTGTGTCTGTCTGTCTACATGTCTGTCTGTTACCTTTTTACCCTTAAACCGCTGAAGCGATATAAATGAAATTTAGTTTAGAGATAGTTTGAGTCTCGGGAAAAGACATAGGACAGTTTTTATGCCAGAAATCATCCTTTAAGGGGCTAAAAAGGAGGATGGAAGTTTGTATGGGAAATTAATAACAGCTAAACCGATTTAGATGAAATTTGGTATGGAGGTGGTTTGATTCTTGAGGAAGGACACAGGCACATGCAACTATCCAGGTTAATAAGGAACTTGTACATAAGGATCTAAATAATTGTTGTTAAAGTAATCCATACTTATAAATGTATAAAAGCGAGTTTGTTTCTTTGTTACGCTTTCACGCCTAAACCACTAAACCAATTTTAAAAATTCTTCCACAATGGAAAGCTACATTATCAGCGAGTAACATAGGTTACTTTTTACCGTGATAACCGACACACACGCGGGCGGAGGCGCGAGCAAAAACTAGTGTGATATAAACAAGACAACATGGGTTCCTAGCCAATGGGTATCCACCCTCTTCTTTAAAAAGAGAATAAACATGTTTTTACTAATATTGGTAACGTTTAAACATGTTTAGTCAACGAGACGTTTAGAAAACCTGATACCCTAATGAACCTTATAGTTTTTTGAAGCTGATATAACTCTATTATCTGTGTGGACCATGCACATCATGTTTTTTTTATGGCGACCTTTCCTGGCCAAAGTAATTGCGATAAGTGATTGAGATTAAAACTTTTTGCGCAGTATTGCTCGTAATTTACACAACGCAGAAAAACATTTCAATATAAAAATTGCCTTAAATAGTTTTTAGTTACATCATATTAACATTATGCTCAAAGAATAAAGTGATAGAACGATTTTTATTGAATTTTGTTCTTAGTGTCGTTAGTCGTTGTCTGCTAAGAAAACTTACAATTTACAACTTAAAATCACAGACAATTTTCATCAATCGAGAATCTGTTCGAGAAATATTGGAGTAACTTAATCAGAGACGAAACTTTGAAATTGTAATACCACCGTTGTGACGTGTATATGTTATAAATGGGTTAACTGAATTTATGAGTGAATCAATTTTGTCAAGTATCCCTAGGGATAGGAAAACAACTTTAATGCAAAAGAAGTGGCAGGTGCCTTTGCTCAACTAATTTTCCCACCCCTAGGGATCTAGGACCTAGGGAACACTACATTTTTTCTCGACGAATCCTATGTTTTTTTCTGTATCTCTAGTAACATCTAGGTATAGAAAACTTGATGATAATCGAGCAACCAGCACTGTAACTCATAAAATAACTACTATTGATTTTTAACCGAAGAAAATGCGGAGGGGATACTGAAGTCAACCTGTATTTTTAAATGGTGTAGAGGACAAACGAACAGCCAGTCACCTAATGGTATGTAACTACCGCCGCCCATGGGCATCTGCGACTTAAGACTCACAAACGAAAGAACTGCTTAACACCAGTTTTCTGTGAGGCCCTTTTTTTTTTCAGTGCGGAAATCCCCTCGGATACCACCTGTCGGTGGCATGTCGGACTCGAACCGACTAAAACCGCACGCCGTCTCGGGTACTTATAGCCGGGGAACCAGGTATACCCTAGAAAGGAAGTCCCTGGTACCCCGACATATTCTGTGAGGCCCTGGTATCACTCTGGTCGAACCTCCCCTTTCTGTGGAAGCATGGCTCTCCCACGTACAAAATGTGTATGAGTTTGTTATTTTTGTACTTATAAGTCTTTACACTATAATTCGATTTGGATAAAAGCACCGACTCGAAATTATTTAGGGATTTATGTTAGGGTAAGTTCAGTTATTTATATGTAGCACAGTTCATTCCGTGGGAGTCGTAAGAGTCGAGTAAGGGAGCAAACTACGCAGTAAACTATGCCATAGTAGGACAAAACCTCCTTCCTAAGGAGAGGCCAGGAGTGGGCTATTTAAGGGTGTTGATAATGATGATGATTTTAATATTATGCGTATTCCTGTTTTTTCTTCGGTTTAATATTATGATAAAATTTTAGAGTTTATCGGTACAATGAACCAGTTGAAGATTGTACAACACCAGATTTAAACAGAAAAACTTAATTTAAATGTTTATGCGATACGATACGCGAACAAAAAAAAAGAAACTTCTTCTGTTGAATGAAGTCAGGCAGAAACTAGGCAAAGTGTTGTATTGCAGGTAGATATGCTCGTTTTTATTATTTAGTTCACATTGCCATATAGAACATAACACGGCAGATTGTCCATAACAGAAACTGAGTAGCACGTAATTATATACACAGCGTGAGAGCAACGTAATGTATTGTATCTCATACATACTTTTCACATGCTTGAATATTCTCAAAACGTTTACAGGACATTAGTGTTCATTTTCTAATAGCTATGGAGGAATAAAACAGCTAATTTTCAAGACCCGGGAGCTTCGAAATGCCAGTCGCATACGCTGGTAGCGTACGCTGCCAGGCATTAAATGTAAGAAGCAACCGAAAAGCATAGAACCTCCTATCTTCAGCTTACCCTCGGTGCTACGAAAAAGCGGTTTATAGTTACCTGTTTAGTGGTCGACACCATAGATGACTGCATCCTAGGATTAGACATTTTTTTTTAGCTTTTACATCCTTATTTATTTACATCCTAAGTTCTCAAGTCACAATTTCGTTGCCGACCGTTGAGGAAGCAGCACGCTCTTTTCTTGAAGGTTTGAAGATCGTATCCGTCAGAAAATACCGCAAACATTAAATTGTACCGCAAGTGCAAGGCAAAAAGTATCTTGAAAAGCGCACTGTAGTGCAGTGCCAATTATCCAATTTGTAGGGATGAACGTTTTACAGTGCCGTTTCATGATACGGTAATTGCTTAACACCAGTTTTCTGTGAAGGTGCGGTATCTATGGTCCATTTGTGCCGAAGCATGGCTCACCCATGAAATTGATGATATAGTTGCTTAAATAGTTATTTATTTTCCAAGCCGAAGTTCTTTTCAAACCCATATCCAAACTTCTTCTAAAAGACTTATGATATACTATCTGTAACCTGCCAAGCTTTGCTGTGACACATTGTGAACCACAGTTCTATTTATGAGAAATGAGGAAAAAAACTGACGTAAAAATAGAAAAAAAACAATCTGTGAAGCGGGTTGTAAATCGTGTCACAATTTGAGCTCAATCAGTGCAGAACTATTGGGTTGTTGAAGCTGTTTAAACCAAATATATATATAAATGTATTTGCAAGCATGTCCATTGCATACATTTGCATACAACAGGCAATATATATATGTATATATGTGTATATATAATATAATTATATGTATGTATAGGTGCATATGTATACATAAATACTATGTATGTATATATATATAATTGTGTGTGTTAGTATAATTATCACTTATTGTATACGTGTTATTTATTTAAAAAATTCTAATGTAATTAATACAAGTACTCTGGGTATATGATATCCTATATATGCTATATTTTGCATAAAATCACATTTTTATTTTCTTTTGTGCACCTACCATGTTCTAGCTTTGCATCGCCCTATGGTTGGTGACTGGGAGATAATGCCTACGGCATTAAGTCCGCCTTTGTCACGTTTTGTGCATAAAGTGTAAATAAAATAAAAAATGAATTATTTTCAACTTATTTTATTTTCTTTATTATTGTTATTATTATTTATAATATGCAACAAACCTAACATTACACAATTTAGGTTACCACTTCCATTTATTTTTATATTAAAAAGAAACTAATGCGAGCCTACACGATTAAGATGAAAACATTTGTGATCCTTACAAATAAGCTTAATTCAACAACGGTTTGCAATATTATTATATTGTTGCTTTAATTTACGAACATTCGTTTGTTTTTACGATGTGTGTTCTCGGGAGCAAAACAACAATAGCGTCACTGCTCGCAGCATTCATAACATCATTGTTAACGACTAAAGTGTCAACTGGGAAATTATAAGAATCTTCGCTGTCGATTATCATTCAGGCTTTCAGTTGCATATTAGTTTTCATTCGCGCTGTGCACGAGAGAGATCGTTTACGGGCAGAGATAACAGTAAAAACATCAGATACACGCTTGTGACTGAACAAGCGACAGTGATGGCAGCACTTTGGACAATATTGGTGATATTAGTTCCACTGATACAGGTATCTACATATTACACTACAATAATTATTTAGTTTTTTGTGATTTCTCGGTTTATATATTATATTTTATTTATATAGTAATCAGGTATAGGTACTTATAAAATAATAAGTATACCATCGGTATGTTTTTAATATCCTTGTAATGTAGTTTTTGTGCTCTTGTTTTGCTCTATATATTGCAAGAACCTTTCAGAAGCTACTTTCAAATATATGGATAATTTAAGCTTGAGAAGTTTGTCTCCCATCTATTCTTTTTCTATAGGTTCATGGATTTTATTCATTTTGCGACCCAACCATGTCATAATTTTTCTTCCCGAACTCTCCTAATATATTTGGTTTAATGCGATTACTTGTAACTTTTATACGCACAAGTTTTACTGAAAATTAGTATATTCAGATTAACTATTTGGGTCACCAAACTCAAGTTAGCAATCACAAGTGCACAAGTCAACTGTGTCCGTTTCGATTAAATGACACATATCACTTGTTTTTTAAGATTCCGACTTTTATCATATACTAGCTGACCCGGCAGACTTCGTACTGCCTCAATTGATAAATGAAAGACTTAAACTTTTGTATAAAATAAACAAATAAAAGGAATCCTTTTTCTATGAAAACAATTAAAAAATGCACGGAATTAATAAAATAATCGAGCATTTTCATATTTATTCACCTTTTAAACCTTCTCTGGACTTCCACAAATAATTCAAGACCAAAATTAGCCAAATCGGTCCAGCGGTTCCCGAGTTTTAGCGAGACTAACGAACAGCAATTCATTTTTATATATATAGAGATTTTTGCTATATAGTTAAGTATAAAGTTAGTTTGAGAACAGACTACCATGTGTGAGATATGTGAAATTTTCATCATCATCGTCATCAGCCTATCGCAGTCTACTTTTGGACATAGGCCTCTCCCATTGCACGCCACTTAGATCGATTTTGAAATTACTATACTTTATTATTATTGTTCAAGTAAAAGATATGTATATATATATATAACAATAATATTTCACAACGCCATCTACTTTCATACTAAGCAGTGATTGTATTATGAAGGATAGATTGGCTCATAGAATACTTATATACTCTTTTTTTTGTAAATACGTACAAGAACAAGTATTTGTGTGATGAGCATGATCGTTTGTTCTGTGTCTGGGTGTAATTTATCTATAATATGTATGTACCTATTTAAAAATATATAAGTATGTTTATCAGCAGTCTGGTTACCATAGCACAGGCTCTGCCTAGTTTGGGATCAGACGGCCGTGTGTGAGCTGTGTGATATTATTATATTATATTATTATACATAAAAGCACCCAAACTCCGAAACAAATATTACAATTACAAACATTTCATCCGACCCAGGAATCGAACCCGATACAGCAGTCGTATACTCTACCACTGCACCACCGAGGCAGTTAAGGTTTTTAGTTTGGTTACACTGCTGCTGCTCAGACCCCTTCTGACCCATAACACTGCCAAAATACACCAGCAGTAGGGTCATGGGGTTTTATTTTTTCCTTCTGCACTATTAACCAGTAGCGTCATGGGTAATTAAGGAACGATCATGCATCCTTCTGACCCATCGCACTACCAGAGTACAGTACCGGTAGTGTCATGTCTAGCAATGCTGACTTTTTTATTTCTTTTCCTTAATGTTTTAAATAATAATGCTAATAATAGTCTACATTAATGAAACTCTTGCTTAAAGGACCACAAATACCTAGGTGTTCGGTTGAGGAGTTATAGTTAGGTACTCTTTTCTTAGTTAAGTATTAGAGAACATAGAGATTGAGATCAGAGTTATAGAATATATATTTTAAAACTTTTTGTGGTTTTTTTTTCATTCATTTTGCACAAATACGAGTTGTAGGTACAATGGCATTTTCTCCCAGTCTATCTTACGGTGCTGAAATGTTTGACTAGGTACACTTGACATTGATGTTTAAAGTAAGAGAAAATGATTGAGAAGTTAGACAGAAACACTGAGATAAAATATACATACATACATACATACCAAATACATACACATACATAACATACTTACCTAGTTACATACATACATAAACCTACATATTAATATTATATAAACTTTAAGGTTGTAATGATTTTTCTAGGGTGTCCAGAATGCGAGCTTGAACTTTCATCTTGAATGAGAGGCGGCTGGGTGCTATCCTGATTTCTAGAGGGAGAGCGATTTTCTTTTTGTTTAATAGCAACTTTTAAGAAAGAAAAAACAACTTCTACACACAACTGCAAAGACGAAATTAAATTGAGTTGACAAGTTTATCTTTTGCATATTTGTTTTTTTTTGTTGTTTTATAGTATAGGGTCACCAGTGCGTTGGCGCCTATTCAGTTACTCCCCCCAAAATCACTGAAAGGAGGAAGGTTACTCACTCGGTGTAAATCAACGAAAGAGCTGCTAACACCGACTTTTTTAATTCTGAAAACAAAATTCACAAAGTTTTTATTATTTGCAGAACATTATAACACACAATCTAACCCATGACGATATACTCCAAGATCCTCCTTTAACGAAATCTTTTGGCTATACTATGCAGAAGACGTTAGGTGCTCGAACTTTGGACGACGCCATATTAAATCAGAAATATATGTATCAGTATAAAGAAATCTTAAAAGCTAGTCAAGAATCATTTGAAAATTTCGAAAAGCCAGACGAAAGGAGATTGAGAAGAGTAATCGGAGACAGCAACTTCAAACTAATGAAAGAAGGTTATTAAGTTGTTAATATAAAGATTTGATTATATATCTATGTGTTTAAACTGATGGATTTTTTTTGTAATCTTGGGAAGGTACACAAACGACAACAATACAAAAAGACCAATTACAGTGACAGGCAAAACATGACATCGTGGTAATGTTTAACATATTCATCATGCGGAGTTATATGGCACTTAACACTAGCCTGTTGGTTTAGTGGTTAGTGACGCTGACTGCTAAGCCGGAGGTCGTGGGTTCGCTTCACACCCATAGGAAATAATGTGTGATGAGCAAAATCGTTTGTTCTTTGTGTGGGTGTAATTATTTATCTAAAATGCGTAAATCTTTAGATTTTTTTAAGTATGTTTATCAGCAGTCTGGTTACCATTGCACAGGCTTTGCCTAATTTTTGATCAGATGTGTGTGAGATGTGTGAAGCTATTATTATTAGTTACTAGCTGACCCGCGCAACTTCGTCTGAGTCTCTCAATAGTAATAAATTTTCTCCGTTTTTGAAACATTCTTCATTGGTGCTCCGCTCCTATTAGTCTTAGCGTGATGATATATAGCCTATAGCCTTCCTCGATAAATGGGCTATCTAACACTGAAAGAATTTTTCAAATCGGACCAGTAGTTCCTGAGATTAGCGCGTTCAAACAAACAAACAAACAAACTCTTCAGCTTTATAATATTAGTATAGATTATTACTTGCCACAGAAGTCTCATTTCGGGATAGAACTGTTGTCTGAGAGTATCTGCCCCAACTGGTACAATAGTTACCCATATCGCGTCTTAACCTCAAGATGGCACTGAAGAAAAAACAATATTTTCTTGTTAAGCTTATCAATCGCCGTTAGCTACCACTACTTAGATGAGATTATCCATTAAAAATAAGCCATTATACATAGAAATAACCAAGGCATCCGATACTTTCACAGCTGGGGTTCTGGATCGACGTCGAAACGCACCTCGCTTCGAATCACCAGTCTTCAAAAGACGCGCCCGGACACAAGCCTTGAGAAGAAACAAACTCAATGACCAAAGTCTCAAGAGTCATTTACAACATTCTCAAAGAATAGTTGACCCAAGCTCAAAACTAGCGTAAACAATACGGGCATTATTCGAAGATTTTTGTTTTGTTTAGACAAGAATTGAATTAAATAGTCTTAAAAATTGTAGTCAAGTGTTTTCGACAAATTTTTAAATTAAAAAAAAATTGGAAATACATAGTATTAACATCAATTACCGAGCAGTTTAGCAAGAGCCAGTACAAGTTGAATATCAAAGATATATGAAGAGCATGTAGTGTATTGAAATCACATTGTCATGTATATTTGCGTTTTAAAAAATCCTACCGGCGTGACCTTAGTTGTTGATCTTTGGGCTGTTCTCATTTAACATGCAGACTTACTTATGTACAGCGCACGTTCTACTTCTGAATACCTTAGTTCTGAACTCGTTACTATCTCCTTCATTGTTTTAGATAAAAAAAGGTTATAGTATAGAGGGACGAAACGAACAGAATTGTTATAAATATATTTCCTGAAATGATTACCTTCCATAATATTGTTTGAAATGCATCTATAAACGTTACCATAAATATTTTTCTGAAATGAAATAATTGCAATGAATAATCAAAACATTAAAAAACGTAGGTATTTAAGAACAGATAAAAGAAGTCATTGAAATCTGACCAGGTATTATAAAAAGGAAACTGATTTTATTTTCTTACCCAGGAATAATTATAATATTCATACATTGCAGGGATATTAGAAATATACACTTTCGATGTCAATTTTACATGCCCAATGGACAGAATGTATTGAAACTACTGCATCTTTACATAGTATAAAATAAAGCCGCTTTTTTGTGTTGTACGCTTAGATCTTTTCAACTAAGCAACAGATTTAAATACATGCATATTATAGTAGAGAAAATCCGAGAATTTCAAAGATTTGTCTTAAGAAATATGGTTTTGCTCGCTTACATTGTAAACGCTGATAATCCTTACGAGATAGACCGAAGTAATACTACACACTACGGAATTGTATATCTTCAAAAGACCTACAAAAAAGTCAGCGATGGTATATGTCTGTCTCCTAAGGATAACCCACAGTAACCTTTTTAATATTTTAAATATTACAAAAACATAATGTGTTATTTACGAAGGTATTTTAAATAATACATTATTATTTCTTATCCAATACGTTGTGCATTTAATGTTGATTAAAATTTCTCTTTACAGCATATCATTAGAATGAATATTTTATAAGATATTGCGGGGCAACCGGTAAAGTGGACGTCGCCGCGTCGTGTCGGACCGTGCGTCCTATAAATATTGCATATAAAGATGTCCAGTCCAGGGTAGTCCTATCAAATTAATAGTAAAATTAGTTCCTCTACACTGACACCAAATTATTAATATTAGTAGTAATTGCATAACAACTTACTATGTACATACATTCTAAGCAAATAAATATAAAATGCATAAATATGAGTCAAGGTAATTCACAACACAGGAGTTCTGTGATAGAAAACATTTTCTCATGGCAACAAGGGTCAACCATTGTGGCTAAGCTCCGTAAATAAAGAAAAAAAAAAAAGCAAGGGTCAACAATGTTCGTCGACTGCCATTTGGCGATGAGACTTCTTAAACAGCATCATCATTTTTGCAGTCGATTGTATTAGTTTGGCAGTAGCGAAATAAAAAAATCAAAAAGTAACAATAATATCTGAGTAGCTGCTGTGCGTTAATTACGATAATTACTGCATACATAGGCGAAAGAGATCATTGTTAGATAACGAACAAAAAATAAGTAGATAATCTAGTAATTCTAGTAGGTAGATATATCTACTAGATAACATGAACTTATTATGTGTTTAGGTCTAAGATCAAATAAAAAGGTTTTATTTGATCTGTTTATGTGGAACTTTAACAAAAAAAAAATGTTTTCCCTATCTGTCTCTCTATTTGGCATTTGATACAGATTTATTGAAGTCAATGGACAAAATTTCTAGTCGTTAGCAGAAGTCTACAATTACATCTATCTATATGAGTCTTGCGGACTTATTTTAGACAAAACCGAGTTGAAGATACCTAACATAATATATTTTATACAATCATTTTTAAAGTATACTTTTCAGTAGTAACACTGTTGGGTTCATTTGTATAATCCCAAAAAATATATATGAAAGAAGTGTTCTATGCAATAGAGTAAAAGATATGTAAGCACCTTAATTGGTAACAAGTAATAATCTAAAAAAGTAATGCACTTAAAAGACAGAAACGGCACGAAGTCCGACACAAACATGGCCCATTTTTCCGCTATCAAGAATTTTATAACATTTATTATTCCTTATTAAATAAGTACCTAGATAACTTCGATATATTTTTGTAATTTATTTTTAATTTTCTTCATTTCTATACCCTACTCGATAAGTTTGGTTAATTTATTATTAAAAAATACGCCATTTTCTCTTTTCTCCTTTTAAAAAGGCCATCTCAGGACACTTGATTTTTTGAGACGGATAAAAACAATACCTTAACACTATACGAGGTAATAAAGAAATTTACAAACAAATATACAATTAAAATAACCCTTCCTTGGCAGTCGGGTAGAAAGAGAAATACGATTGAGGTTATGTCAAAGTGCACTGATAGTTGAGGACTATAGTTAAATTAGGTGACCGTGACCGGTAAACTGATAATGACTGAAAGTGTGTGTTGTTTTAAATAAATATAGTAATAGTATATTTAATTAAAAGCTTAGTTTAAACTTTTAATACTGTCACTGCGAGCTAGGCTTTTACAAATCAAAAACATAAATGTTAATGTGCGGTCAACTTCTCAACCCACAAAAATGAATCAGAATTTAGCATCACCATAATATGGGTATACTTGACTCTTAATTCTAATGTAGGCTTATAAATAATATTTAAATATATTGGAATGCGCTTATTAAAAATGGCTGCTTCGAAAATGGTCTTGGTAAATTAAACACTTGAGTTCGCCGGCAAATAGTAAGTTTAAAGGAGTTACAAAACAACGTTTACAACTTCACTTACATGGATTTATAATATTCACCTAATACTGTTTAACGTGTTAGGTTATAAATATATAACAGAATAACATCATATTGTTTCAATAGATGCATTTGTTAAGAATATTAAAGTAGTTCATTCGTTATTGATATATTTTTAAATCTAATTATTTTCATTTAATTGACTTTAGATTCGGTTTACGATTTCAGTCATCCGTGTGGTGTCACCACCCCTATTCATCCCGTGGGTGTCGAAGAGCCGACTAAGGGGGCAAACTACGCAAGACAGCAGCACTGCAAATAGAAGTAAAACTTGAAACAAACCCTATACCAACCCATCTCATCGGCCAGCGTGGTATAGTAGGCTAAAGCCTCCTTTCTAAGGAGAGGCCAGCAGTGGACAATTAAAGGCTGTTGATGTATTGACGATTTTTGTGTAATCCAAAGAGCATAAAGTTTATTGTAGGGAGTGAGGTATGGGAGGAAATTTTTATGAACGTATACGTTTCAAGATAACGATGTCTGTTTTTTGTCCTGTTTTTTTTCAATCCATCATTATTGTAGAAATGTAATCTAAAATTCCATATATGCTGTTTTTATAATCAATTCTAAAAAGATATAGACATAAAAATCCAGTCCCTCATTCCCTCCTTGTTACGATATACTCGAATTTCGTAGTATTTTTAGGATGCAAAGGCCAGGTCATTCCCAAGCCAGGCCAGGCCAGGCCAGTGTATTCCCAAAAATCGAGTGTAACTGGATACTTAGTTCGACTATCACTATCGAGCTATATGTAATTATAACGTAGGTATCATCGTGTGCATTACAGAAATCATTGTTTATTTCAAGAAAGCAGTAATAACCAGTTAAGTTAGTCGGTATCGGTTATCGCAGACACTGTATTGTTTTGTGTTTTCGAACGAAATAAAATAGATATTAACAACACAATTTCTCTAAGTTAATCACTTTTCTTTCAAATTAGAAATTAGTTAGTTTTTTTCATTTATCTAATTTATTGTCAGAATAGAGCATTTCTTCACAAGTAATACGTGCCATAATAACAATATTCGACCGGTAACTATAGCCGACAACGACGAATTGAAGGCGATTGTCGAAGCGGATCCAACTCAATCTACGGGTAAGGTTGCTACGGGCTTGGTGTTAGTAACAAAACAACATTGAAGCACTTGGGTACAGCACCTAATCAGTGCTCTAAAAAAAAGAAACCCATAGGAAAATCTGTGTGGTGGACCAGTGCCGGATTTGTACATCACAGCTTATTACCTAATGGCACAATAGTGACAACAGATGTCTATTGCCAAGAATTGCAATCAATGATGGAAAAGCTCGAAATTCAACAACCACGGCTGGTGGCTCTTCCCCATTGCTCCTCCACGACACGAAGGTTAAGTGCTCGTAGCCTTGCCCCAACAGACTTCTATTATTATTTTTCAAAATTGAGACAATTTTGAAAAATAATAATAGAAGTAAACCGTAAACCTACTCATACGGACAGATACCTACACGCCACGTCTCATCATCACCCCCGGCACTTGCAATCTGTTATGACTTCACTCAAAAACAGAGCTTACGATCTCTGTGACCCTGAACATTTAGAACAGGAGCTAAAACATGTTCAGGAGGTACTCAAAGGTAACGGATATCAAGTGAAAGGAGGACGGAAGCAACCGAAAATAAGACGCAAGTATCCAGAAGTGAACAGGCAACCGGCCTATATGCCTTATGTCAAGGGAGTTACGGACAAGATCGGGTCTGTACTAAAGAAATATTCCATTCCGACAGTATACACACCAGGCATAAAGGTTCACAACATCGTCGGCACACCGAAGGATACATTGCCACTACAAACTCCGGGTGTTTATAAAATAGACTGCAGCTGCGGAAGCTCATACATAGGCCAAACTAAGCGGACTATTGCAGAAAGGGTCAAAGAGCATATCGCTGCTGTGAAGAACCGACAGACGAGCAAATCAGCGATTGCAGAACATGCACTCGATGCAGGCATCAACCACTGGATTGAATTTCACCGCACGCAAGTCCTCTCCACCGAACGTCACTTTTACTCAAGAGTTGTACGTGAAGCGATTGAGATTAAAAAGCATAAAACTTTCAATCGGGAAGATGGTTTTAAATTATCTACAGCGTGGAATCCAGTGTTAAAAAACATACCACCTCGCTTTTCTGCGCAATTGGTTAAACACCAGAATAGGGACTCATCGGTTTGCTTACAGAATAGGGACACTGTTAGTGTGGTATGTGACGGTACATGGCGACACAAAAACAATATCGAAAATGTGCGGGTAGATGAAGAGCCTTCTACTTCACGGATTCGACGACGGAGGGCGTGCGCCGATGAGCCAGTCAGCCTGTGACCACGGCCGGTGCAACCTGGTCGAAACGTCAGGCAAACCAGAGGTATGTAATACCCTAAATAAGAGATCGCGTTAATTCCCGTTAAATAATATTATTTATCATGGAACGCGAAAGTTTAAAAGTTAGTATGCATATATTATTATGAACGAAGACAGGCACGACTACCGGTAAGAGTTCTACCACACCGTATCTGATAGTCGCATTACTCTACCTACTCACAATAACCAGCGTGATCCTCACCCGCGGTTTACCCAATGCTCACAAAGATTAGAAGAAATAACTTTTAGGTTTGTCTTGTAAGACAAAAGCACACACTTAGTATACGAGTACGACATTGTAAACAATATACGTCTTTCACATTACACGAGAATTGAATTAAATTAGATAGCGACATGATATGTAGGTACCTACGGCTAATTATAATGTAATTATATTATAACTGCAAATTATGATGTAGATATCATCGAATTGACACATAAGCAAATGAATGGATTAAGAAGTTTTTGTAGTAAGTACAGAACAATCAACGAATCAGTTTACAGAATAGATGTTAATATCAAGATGGTATAAATATAACGAAAAAGATTTTGGTCTTTAAAATTTGACTTGAACAGGTTTGAACAACAAACAAGGCTTTTGCAGAGAGCTCATAACCTATTTATTTAGTTCTTAAAAATTTAATGTAAAAAGCATTGATAATGGTGTCTAGCATTTTTGTTGCTAGACACCATTGGTAAATTAAACCTTTATGAAAATTTGTTTTCAATATTATTGTCAACTTTTTTGTGATCAAACTGAATGCATGAAAATATTTCTTACCTTTTACAAAAATCTTCAGCTTTTAGACGCGAAGTGTAGCAGATTAAAATAATAATAAATAACAGCTGTTACTTAACAACAGGTAAATATACCTACCTACAAAAATAATTAGGACAAATGAAACGGTGGCCGAACGGACCTCAATGATTATTGTGTTTATGAGTAAATTTGTGAAATTAATCCAAGTTTTATTTGTAAACCAGTCTTCTTCTCTCCATATTATAATAAAAATTATGTCATATAGGTATTTGAGAGACCCAAAAACATACTGTTAAGATATGAATAACAGCTGATAGTCAGCAGTCTTGAGGTCAGTTCACTGACAGGCGCTTATCTGGAGGCAAATAATGCGGCGTGTGTGTATCGTCAATCAAACTAGACCGAACCAGTTTACATACAGTTGACATTTTAGAGTAATTTAGATGCAATTATAATTTTATAAGCATTTATGTATACATATTCTACTTATTTTTTCAATTTTCTCCTTACTGAGAGCAGTTAAGTTTGGAATCGGAAATGTTTTTTTTTCTTTCCGAGGGTGATTTTTTAGGTGGTCAATATACGTTATATTTTATGACAGACCTTAAACCAAAGGATACACTTTGATTTTATTTTGTATAAATTTGAGCGAGTCCCGCCCTATTCACCCTGTAGTTATGATCCGACTAAGAGCAAACTGCAAAGAGAAGGCAAACTTGAAACAAACCCTGTACCAACCGCTCTGCCCAGCGTGGTATAGTAGGCCTTTTTAAGGAGAGGCCTATGTCCAGATTATTTATTTTTGCGCATTGTGCATGTGCACAGTCTGCGTGTAGTAGGTTAGGTAGGAAAAAGTGGGCGGAACAGCGTCTTGCGTTATATGTGCTCTTTGCTGGAGTGAACAAGCGAGAAAGAGAAAGAAATAAACTCGATTAGAATTAATAAAAATAGTATATTAATTTGAAACCACCCATATACCTGAATCTAAATATACGACGATATAAAGGTGTCTCAGTAAGAGTGCACTTTTTCATTTCAAAATAAAAACACGTATTTTATGAAAGAGTTGTGATATTTTTATTGGATTGTAAAGAAATATCCGGCAAATGGCCCCCACGGTTCTTTTTTATGGTATAAGGGAGCAAACGAGCAGACGGGTCACCTGATGGTAAGCAATTGCCAATGCCCATGGACACCTGCAACTCAAAAGTCACAAGTGCGTTGGTGCCTTTGGAGTCCCTCCCGCTCGAGTCAGCGATTTGGGCTCCGGTAACCTCATTCACTCAGTGAAAGGCAACGAAATAATTGCTTAACACCGGTTTTCTGTGCGGCCGTGGTATCACTTCGATCGAGCTGGCCTATTCGTGCCGGAGCATGGCTCTGATGACAGGCCATTACCCTTTTTATAAAATTTTCCATGACTTTTACACAGAGATGTGGCTGTTGCTGTTGGATCTCTGATTTGAGCTCAGGAATTGTTTCTGATGTTAAATCGCATGATCTTGGTGGCCAGTTAACATCAGAATTTCGTGAGATAATGTGTTCTGAAAATCGTTGCTGCAATAAGTCGGTTGTGTCATGCGCGGTGTGGCAGGTGGCCCCGTCCTGCGGAAACCACATGTTGTCCAGATCCATGCCGTCCAGTTGAGGCCACAAGAACGCCGTTATCATATTCCTGTAACGAATGCCGTTCATAGTCACTGCAATTTCCTCATCTTCAATGAATGGATAAGGCTCATTCACGCCGCCTGACCAAAAACCGCAGCAGACAGTTGCTCGTTATGGGTGCATTTGTCTCTCATGGATTGCATGAGGATTTTCTGAGCCCCAAATTCGCCAATTTTCTGTATGCACGTAGCCATTCAGATGGAAATGCGCTTCATCGAAAAAGATTACTTTTTCGGAAAATTGGCATCGACTTCACTTTGCTCCATTATCCATTAAACGAATTGCCGGCGCTTTCCATGGTTTGAGCTTTTGAGTTAGCTGAATCTTGTACTCATGAAGGTAATGAAGGTCATGTAGGTCTTTTGTCAAAATTCGATGCGTAGTGCTTCGTGAAATTTGTTGTTGAGAGGGATGCCGATTGTATGTTTTCGGGTTTTGAATGGTTGACACATTAGGTGCACTTTCTTGACTGAAAATTGTTTGTTATGTGTTGAGTTTTCACAATTTTAACGCGTTGTTCTTTTTTCTCCATTTTAAAAAGTGTATTCTTACTGAGACACCCTTTATTTACGACAGAAATCAGCAATGGCAGCTAAGTTTTATTTAGGTTAAGAAAACATAACTTTTTATACCTGTAGATTTCTTAACCTAAGTAACATTTAGCTGTTATTGCTGAAAACCGCTGTAAACCAGTTTATTGCGTTATCATGTTATATATTTTGTTAGTAAGTTGATCTTATACTCTTACACATATCAGTAGCAAAACAAACTATTCACGCCCACAATACATGTACCTAAACTATTTTTTTTAATCCTTTTCTATGAGAGACCTACCTATTACCTAACTAAAAACAAATCATTGTTATGTAGTATATGCCTTCGTAGGTATATACGGATTCAGAAAAAAACTATCAAGGATCGGTTTCCGTTCCAGAAAGCTGTGATTTCAACTTTTACCCTTTTACAGGCAGACAAAGAGTGAAGTTAAAGAGAAGTGAAGGTTATATCTTCCTGTCCAGTCAGCAAGAGTCAGTCAGAAAATCTTTAAATGGATTCTTAATGGTGTATACCACAGTACTTCTTTATATGATGTGTTAATATTTTATTTCAGTTTGCTATCATCGGCAGTTATGAAACAGTGAAAATTATGTTCACGTGAACCTAGTTAAGTTAAGGCATTTGTTAGGATAGGCATTTCATTCAAATGGGACTGTTCTGAAGGAATCGAATAAAATGCCACTATGAAACAAATTTTCAGAGCCAAAATTTTATCAACCGGTTTTTAAAGATGTGAAATGGGAATTTTGGAATTTACAAGTTTTAAAGGTAACCAAAAAAAGTCAAAGTCACTCAACGTGCTATGGAAAGGGCAATGCTCGGCGTTTCTCTAAGGGATCGCATCAGGAATGAGGTGATCCGGCAGAGTACCAAGGTCACCGACATATCCTACCGGATCAGCAAGCTGAAGTGGCAGTGGGCTAGCCATATTAGCCGCAGAATCGACAACCGTTGGGGACAACGAGTTCTTGAGTGGAGACCGCGTCTCGGCAAACGCAGTGTATGACGCCCACAGGCCAGGCAGGAGCTGGATGCGAGAAGCCCAAAATCGACCCAGCAGTGGACTGCGATAGGCTGATGATGATGATGAAAGGTAACCATAATTTTTAACCTTTAATGTTGTTCGAAAACCAGGCTTAGAATAATTGTTTATGCGATTTTTAAATAAAGGTTTTTGGAAATCGTTTCTATTGTAACATTGTAACAGAACATTACAACCACTATTGCACTATGCATATTGTGACAGTCAGCAGTGTCACCTGTCAGAATTGCTGTCACAACATTGCCTGCTGCCTTAATGTCAAACTCAAACCTAAGTTTTAGCGGGAATAGTCTTAATATTCTTTTCGAAATGAATAAGAGTGTGTCTCGTTTTATCGCGAACTTACGATAGTGATGTCAAGGCTGTATTGGTGGTGGAACGGCTAAATAAGACCGTCCTGTTGGTTTCGAGTCAGTTTAACCGCGCGCCACTTGCCGTCAAGTGTGGCTAACAACATACCTAAAAACCGTTTTGGAAATTCTATACAAATTAATTAATCACAATGCCCCCTGTTTCTTTGACGAACGACGTAAGTACCAACTGTATATCTTCAGTAATTCAATTTCCTTCACAGCCTTATTATTATATTACATAAATTAATATTGTATGTAAAATAAAAATTTAATTTCAGTCATTAAATCAAGTGGGATAATATATTTTTTAAGTATTTTAAACCAATGCAATTTGAATCTGTTGTAAAGTTTCCTATGTAGTAATAAAAATGTATGTTATAGGCACCCAAGAAGAAGCTGCGTGTAGCCCTCATTGGGCAGAGTAAATTTGCAGCAGAGGTATTCAAATTACTGCAAAGTGATGGTCATGAGATTGTGGGTGTATTTACTGTATTGGACAAAGGCAACAGAGAAGATCCTTTGGGTAAGTTGATTTTTTTAAATATGTATAAAAAATTATCTTATTAAAATCAAATGTTGATTTGTGTCATTTTGTGTCAATGCTATAAGAATAACTTGCTTTTTAACCGACTTCAAAAAAGGTTCTCAATTCATCGGAATCTTTTTTTTTAATACATAATTCAGTTATAGATGTACTTAATATTAAATAATTAATAAAAAAAACGCAAACTATAAAAATTATGTTATAATAATAAATATTATTCTAATTTAATAAAAGTTACATTGTATACTTTTTTTTTAAACTTAATTATTTTTCATAAAATGATTTTGAAATTCTATACATTTGAGCAAAACGTAAATAGTTATTAGTTTAATTAATATGTTATTAATAAGTAATGTACAAAACATGGTTTTAAGAACTTTTTAATTTTGCAGCAACAATTGCTGCACAGAATGGTAAACCAGTGTATAAATACAAAACATGGCGGGTGAAAGGTCAAGTAATACCGGAAGTATTGGAGCAGTACAAATCTGTGAGTACATTATATTTAGTTAAGTACATTTTGTACTTAAAATGTATGTGCCTTTTAGCATGTCATATTATGGCAATGTTTCATTTACTCAACATGCATTTCTCACAAAGTTTAATGTGGAAAAAAATGTACAACCAACCTATATTAAATTTAATTTAGTACTTTTAAAATAAGACAAACAAGCCCGTGTAAAAGCATTCTGTAAATACATAAAAGGAGATTTTTTATTGTAAATATTAGGGTTTTTGATTGTTAAAACACAAAAAAAAGTAATGCTAAGCAAATAAATAAATTTCAGTAAAAGTAAATGAAGAAATAAATTTCAAACAATAAAAACTAATAAGTATTAATCATGCTATGGACTGGTGACATTTAATAACACAATTGTGTGATAATTTATGAAGTAATGATTTCAATGATGCTTTATCTGTCATAAATCATGTAACATTGTAAATAGAATTCACTGTAAAGATGTGCTACAACTACATATAAAAACCATTACCTAGTAATTGCAGCAAACTAAACATCATAAAATAAAGTCTGAACACAATAAACTCCAAAAGTACTGGCTCGATTTTTATATGGTTTTCAACAATAGATAGTGTGTATAGTCAAGGTGTTGTACAAATTCGTTTAAATTAGGCTATGGATGTTGAACATGCCACATAATATAGATATAAAAGAAAACAATGTATTACATAATTGTTCCTATTTAAAAGATCTGTTGCAATATAGCAGCTCTATATGTCTATTTAACCTCCTTTCTAATGAGGCTTAGTCCAGCAGTGGACTGTTAGAGGTTGTTATTGATATGTCTATTTTCTAAGATTAACAAACAAAGATCAGAATTGCTAGAAAAAAAAAAAAAAAGAATCAGTACTTAAACTTTAACATGTGTTTTTAATTTTAAATCTTCAATGTAAAAGACGCGATTAAGGCAAAAAGGTGACACGAAATAAGATCAGGAAAATTACGACGAATCTTTCGACATCTCAAACGCCAAAATCCAATAAGCATTTAGGCTACAGAGTGTTGCAAAGAAATAAACATACATACACTCGAATAAGTCTCTCAGTCGGGTAAAAATGTAGGCACAATGCTCCGGCAGCCATCAACTTAAGAACATACACAACAAAACTGATGACTGATGCCAATATTGGCCAGTAACAGTGGATCACCAAATATACCAATGCAAAAAGTAGGAACTGTCCACCACTGTCACATGTACAAAGATTTATTTATTCACAACTCTGAAGAACGCATGCATCTGCTTGTTGCTAGTTAAGCTTAACTGTTGTCCAGAAAAAGGTGGCAGACGGAACTAGATTTGTAGCAAGTTACGAACAATGTGCAATACTGAAATAAGTGGTTTTTTTAGTGTCTAATGGTCTAAAAAAATATTTTAAAAGAATATGTCTAACAGAAGGTCATACCGTTTAAACCGCGATTTACTACAATTTTAACGGTTCGGTTTGGAAGTCGGTATAACATAATTCCAGACCGTAACATCTCTAAACAGAAATACCAAAACATAAATTCTCCAAAAACCTCGATAGTACATTCATTCAATTACTTCATTAGACAGACAGAAATAAACTACATACTTTGATTACTAGTTAACGTAGCATGTGATTTCGAGACTGCAATTTGTCTACACAGACACAGGTCTAGTCACTGACATTCAATCCAGTTATAACCAGTTCTAGCAAATTGGTTAATGGTTTCAATAGATTTTATCGGACAGTTCCGACATTCATTTTAACTGGTTAAAACCAGTATCTGAAGGTGTGACTATATTACTACGTGCTGTTGACGAAATTATACTCCGTAGGTAACTGATAATACTTAACGTTTGCAACCGTTTTGAAAATTTAGTGGGTTTTATTCCAGGCATATTATTATATTGCTAAGGCCAAAAAAGAAAAAAGTCGTTGCTGGGCGCGTGTGCATTTAATCTTGTACTGAGAATATTCACTATTTCTGATAAAGCTCTTGAACACAAAATCAGTCAGATTGAAAAACTTGATACTGGCTTGATACTTGATACTGGAACATTTTACGAATCAAGCATTAAATAGTCATTTGGGTCAGAATCAATAAGAAATCTAACTTTCTCAAACAGTCTATATTTGTTAAAGAATAGTGTGTTTGGTAAATCGGCGATATGTTGGTGCACGCACAGATTTTAATGCTTTTAGAAATCCCCAAAAAAGTAGGTATATACATGAATCATGAATTTGGCAAATGTAAACACAACCTTATAGTAATTCAACAGGATCCAAAGAACTATTTTCGTACGTTTCAAACTTTGAACGATACACTTATGCAAAGTAGCTATGAGTATACAAATATGGTGTCATTCTTGTTAACATGAAATATTTACGCCGAGAAATGAAATATTTTCATCTTGGTTACTATAAAACCACTTATTTTTGATAACAAGTTTACCATGGGGCTTGCCCTATTTATACTTAAAATTTTACAAAAAATTTAAGTGATGCCCATCTCATATAATTCCATATTCGCCGTTTGTTTATGTTTGCCGTCATTAGACTGTAGATCGCTTTTAGCAACCACGTCGCTCACAGTAATATCCACTCGAAAACGATAAATTACGAAATGATATGTCATTGCAACGTTTCTGAGTGAATATTTCGACGACACTTATTGATGATTGGCCAATAACTCAGTAAGCTCTCAGTATATTTATTTACATTGCTATTTAATACTTGTAGCTTTATTACTGTAATACCTTTTTAAACAAACATAAAATATTCCCACATTTAGCATAGCCGCTAATTATCTTAAACACGAATTTTCTTGTTTTTTCTCTTAATATTTTTGTACATTGTTTAGGGCGTAATTTATCTAAAATATGTTTAGTACTAAATAAATATTTTTATCATCAGGCTGGCTACCATAGTAGACTCTGCCTAGTTTGGGAACAGACGGCCGTGTGTAACATTTGTGATATTATATTGTTTTTTAACTCTACCTGAGTGTTCTCCGATTACCTTTAAATATTCGTTTAGCTAAGCACAGTAATCGATTTTCATAATTTAATTTATTGGAGTTAATGTATGAAGTAGTAGAAATTTTGTCATTTTTTAAATGCAATTCTAGCAACTCATATAATATAGGTATAGATAACCAGTTGTCTGTCGGATATTTTAGCAGAAAGTACCAACGTTTCCTAGTGCACTATTGACCTCCTATATCTAACTTGGACGCTCGTTACTCAAGCCTATTATTTGAGATGATATAACTTATCGTTAAGGAATGATATTTAAAAACTTAATTTGTATATATTTCATGTCTGAAGTAATTAAACATGGATCATTTTACGAATATACCTATTATTCCAATATCGTTCCATTTTTAGGATTTCTATACATATACGAGACAATTTGAGTATACATAGTTAAAAAACTTACATATAAATGTTCTGTTAATACAAATAAATATACCTACGAACTTCAAGATAACAACAATTAAATAAAAATACTTCGAGAATACTTTATCACCTAATATGTGCTCGGAACTGCGTGATTAATAATTATATCTTCAGAGTATTTTATTTTATACACGTGATCTCATATAAATCTATTGCATAAATTTAGGAAACAAAATACTATATTACTACAAATTGCATAAAGATACAGATTTTTTAATGGAATCCCACCTAACCATAATACAACACTAATTATTCGACTCACGGGCCACCCTAAACGAATAAAACCAGTCTAGTACCTAAGCCTATACTGCCTGGAATTAAATTTGAAATTTAGAAATTCCCGTCCAAACAATGAAAGTAAAATACTTGCGTTGGCTATCTTATCACCTCCGTTTTAGTAGGCATGGTAGTGATCCAGAGAAAAAGAAGACAAAGACCTATAAAATGTGGCGCAAGCATACCACAACAGAGTGGTCCCATACTAGTATACGGAGACTACGTTTTCAGAATCCCGCCTATGTATGTAAATCTGGGGTCACATAGACGGCGGGTAAGGCTTTTCATAACACAGAGTTCCTAGATAGATTAGTGATGTATATCTATGTCGAAGCCAATGAGAATCTTGAAATTCGAGTGCATTCATAATATGTATTTTATACTAAACCAATACTTGCGTGTGTTTTAAAATTATTGGAGAAATAGTCATTATACAGTCTGGAGAATTACACAAAATATATTTCACAACCAAAAGTTTAACATTGCGAATTCGTTGGAAGCATTATAACAGCATGTTCTATTAAAGCTCACTTAGAAGATTTTTTTTCTCCTTGTAAGAATGGGACGTTAAATTAACTTCTGAGGTCAGGATGGGATTTTTACTGAGACTAAGACTTCAAAGAAGGGTAATGTTGGTTCGATCGATCTATATTCTGCACTAGAATTTTATTACTTATATAACATAAAAATCTTTATACAACGACTACTCGCCAACTGATGTTATTAAACATAATTTTCCTTGTAGTACCCGCAACACACTTCTATTTACTTTTCCTTTAAAAATATCAAACCGCGATGGCCCTTTATGGGTTCAAATTTCCTTTTGTAGGTACAACTAACATTTTTTTAAATATTACGTAATATTAAAACTTAACTAAAAAATTCAAAAGTATCGTAGCCATTATACTCATATTTACTGACATCGATAGAAATAAGTAAGCTTGACATGACATAATGAAATAAAAACAAAGTAAACTTGACAAAAAGAATTAGTGTCCCGCACAACGGGGCACTCTAATTATTTTTTCTTTCTTTTTTACATTTTTTCTCTGATTATATTTGTATAAATTAGATTTTGTTATAAAGATTAATATTTGACGTGACAGTTCCGGTTCTGGCAATCACACATGTACCTCAGTTTTTAAATAATACCAACTACGTCTTAATAGAGCTCCTTAATACGAGTCTTACAAGTATTAAAACTCAGCTGAATAATTCATATTAAAATATACCACCGATAAAAACGATCACATTTTTATGTGTACAGGTAAATGCAGACATCAACGTTCTTCCATTTTGCACACAATTCATTCCCATGGAGGTTATCACATGCCCAAAGTACGAGAGCATCTGCTACCACCCCAGCATACTACCAAGGCACAGAGGAGCTTCATCTATAAACTGGTAAGTGCAATGGTATCATCTAGAAATGGTTTGCAGAGGTACTCTCGTATTATGAGTAGGTACTGTCTGCCTACTCATAATTCGTTGTTTAACATTTCGCTACCCGAGCGAAATTTAAGTCTATGTACAGGAGTGCATGAAACTAAATATTTCATCATCATCAACAGCCTTTACTAGTCCACTGCAAGACATAGGCCTCTCCTTAGGAACGAGATTTTGGCCTACTATACCACGCTGGCCAGTCGGGTTGGGTAAAGGGTTTGTTTCAAGTTTTCCTTCTCTTTGTAGTGCTGTTGTCCTGCTTAGTTTACTCCGTTACTCGGAATAGACTTTACTACATATTTAAGGCTAGCGAAATATTTAAACTACACCTTTATACAAATATTTGAACGCACAACGAATACAACGAATTATTTTTACGTAGAAATATATAAATTATACGAATATTCAAAGATGCATTATTAGGATCATATCAAATATGGTTAGGCAGAGGGGTATCACAGCAGACACTGGAGGTGAACTAACGCGTCACAAGGAGCACTCCCTAAAACTACTCCTGGGTCGCAATTCCCAGGCGCTGACGCAGTCGCATGTGTTACCGCCATCTATCACACGGCGGACCCGGCACCCGCACGGTGAATCCATAAAAGGTTAACAAATAGATCTCTGCATATGAGACCAGGATTTAGAGTAAAAGTCAAACGACAATCTCGAAAACTTCGTATAAATGTCGCATTTGCCATTACACCGGCACAATTATGCCGTCCAGCCTATCTCTATGTTAAACTCATATATATTACTGCCTAATACCACGTTTACTATCATTGTCGAACGATCCCGCTTTATCAACGAACTAATCAACTTCGTGATGAAACGATCTCTCACATACGGTCATTGACTCATAATACGAACACGTTTTCTATCTGAAGTCTTAGGTAATTACGGCCGTCGCAGGATCTTGCGTGTGGAATGCAATTTGTGACAGTAAATTGCTATTTTATGGTTAGGGCTTTCATATAATGGCTTTGTTAGAAAGGAACACAGTTAATTATTAAATCGAATCAAAACCTTAAATGTCGGTATGTTAATTTTAGCACTACCACATTCCTCGGTTCGCGAAATTTTCTTAAAAGGTAAAACTTCTCGTCACGTATTATAATATTTAGATAAATCACAAATAAGCTTAAGGCTGACGTGCTTGTTTAAGATGTATTTTTTTTAAATAATGGAATAAAAACCACCAACACAAGAAGCAGTCTGTATAATCAAAATAAAATCTTACACCTTTTACATTCCGTAATAATCATGAATCTTTGATATATACTTAATTGAGTTACATTTACCCATGGGTGGTGGTAGTTATTACCATCAGGTGATCCGTCTGCTATGCTAGTTGGCCTCTATACAAAAAAAAATGGTATAGGTACGGAAATTAATTCGGTTACGTTATAGGTATTACATACCTTTGAATTGTTCGACGTCTTGTCCAGGATGCACTGATTGGCTCAGCGGTGAACTCCCGCCGTGGTCAAAACTTATAAATTCATCTACCCGCACATTTTTGATATTTTTTGTTTTGTATTTTCGCATTATATCGTCACATACAACATTAACAGTGTTCCTATTATCTATGTGGTATCTACGAGGTACCGACGTGCCCGCACTTACCTTAAAAACATTAGTCATTTTCTTCAAATAGGAGTTGACTGTACGCCTTTCAGTTTCTACCATAATACGTTTTGCGTGATACCACTATTACTCAAACGGTACGCAGTGGAGTGCCTATATCATTAATATAATCATATAGGATGACAGTAGTTTTTCTGTGATAGCCTCAACTTGAGTGAATTAGCAAAAACACGCGATTTTTTTGCTTTAATTGGTCTTATCTATACTAATATTATAAAGCTGAAGAGTTTGTTTGTTTGTTTGTTTGTTTGAACGCGCTAATCTCAGAAACTACTGGTCCGATTTGAAAAATTCTTTCAGTGTTAGATAGCCCATTTATCGAGGAAGGCTATAGGCTATATATCATCACGCTAAGACCAATAGGAGCGGAGCACCAATGAAGAATGTTTCAAAAACGGAGAAAATTTATTACTATTGAGAGACGCAGACGAAGTTGCGCGGGTCAGCTAGTTAACAATAAAAACGAACCATAGTGTTTTTGTAAAGACTTTTTTAACATGGTTTGAAACTTTATTTATACTAACCTTCTGTCTACATATTTTAAGAAGCCTTTTTAGCCAATTAGCAGCACGCGAATGTCAACCATGTTTTTGGGGCGAGTAGCATTTGAGTAATATTTTAAAATGCTATAATTGTACAATCCAATAATCCGTATATAAACTTCAGGATGGTGGTTTTTTTTATAAATGCACGGCCAAATACTTTATTATTATAATACTGTCTTACAGTTAACACGAAATACAGATTAATTTGAACAGATAGCAGTGAAAATCCGCCCTGTTTGGCTCGACAATAACTGATATCTACGTACTTATAATAATTGGATACAATATCAAGGTCTGCTAATCACATAATTACTAAAATTACATAATTCTTTGCATATCAAGCTATTATTGTAATTCGGATTTTCCGGCGGTAATTTTGTAAATTGTCACAGTACAATAAGTATACCACATACCTACTTGTTGAGTACAATAAATATGTAGCTAACATATTTGAAGTAATACTTTTGGATAGTAATCTTATCTAACAAATAATTATGTCACTTATTTTTAGTCTATACACACACTTATTCTGTCTGAACGTGATAAACTCCAAAAACCCTGAACGTATTTTATATAGTTTTCACCAATGGTTACAGTAACTAATACATGAGAATGTTTAGAAGTTTAAATCATCAAGGTTTTATTTAAATTTGCTTAAAGAAGGCAATGATTGTTAAAATTAAAAAATCTACGGACCGGGACCTTTGGACGACACCTGTGTACGCCGCGTAATAATGAGAGAACAATCTAAAACGGTTTTTTTTACGTTAGAGGGGGCAGACGAGCAGACAGATCACCTGATGGAAAGTGACCATCGCCGCCCATGAACGTCTGCAACTCAGGAGTCACAAACGCGTTGCCGGCCTTTTAGGAAGGAGTACGCTCTTTTCTTGAAGGTGGTATCGGTCCGGAAATACCGCAGACGATAACCCGTTCCACAGATTGATTGTGCGGGGCACAAAGTGTCTCGAAAAGCGCACAGTAGTGGAGCGCCACCTATCCAGGTGATGAGGATGAAAATTTTGCCATGTAGAACGATGGCGGCAAGTTGCGGCTGGTATTAGTCCGAACAATTCCTCGGAGCACTCATTATTCCTCAAATAGTTTATTAATTTAAGTACGCGGTTCGTTAAATTCACGTCTTCCACTTAAATTGTTTGTTAAGAGGGATGCTAGTTAGGAATTTAAACTGCTACGAGTATCAACCCTATCTCCTTCTTTCTCAGGACATTGATTGAAGGCGACACAACATGCGGACTATCGATCTTCTGGGCTGATGATGGACTGGACACAGGCCCCATTCTGCTCCAGAAGAGCTTCCCAGCCACCATTGATGATACAGTCGACACCATTTATAATAAATATTTGTACCCAGAAGGTAAGCAATTCATATCTTACCGATAATACGATTTTTATTCATAGATGATGGGATGCTTTAATTAACATAATATGCTGTTAATATCAAATTATTATTATAATAAAATTAAGTAGACGTAACAATCAGCGGTCTTATCGCTCACGGCGATCTCTTCCAAACAACCTTAACACGGATTTTAGGTATTTAACAGTTTAGGGTAGTATACACGTAACACATTATCACGGGAATATTTACAAATATCAGCAAAAACATTCATACTCAAATATACATCTGTGCACACATACACATACATACATATATAGAATTTATTATATAATGAGTTTACCAGTAACAGGTTATGTGTGTGGAGTGTATGGATGTATATTTCTTTGTTCAGCTCGCGCTCAGTAGTTTGAACAGCTTGATATGGTGTTTCGGGTATCGTTTGATTCATCTTAATAGTAAGAGTGACACTGGGTTAGTGAAAATTATAAAAATTTATTCGCTAAATTTCAAATGATATAAGTTATATATTTTGACGTATTCGGTTTATTATAATTAATTTATAATTAGCTTGTTTCAAGTTGATATTTCTATAAAGATTACAATAAAGTTGTAAACTACTGTAAATGTTTACACATGTGCATACCATTCATGGAAGTTTAAATTCGGTTATTTAGATAGACAGACAGAGAATATAATAAGAGGAGATGAAAGATTAACCTGATGGCATTTGTTTAGGTATTAAAGCATTGGCCGAAGCAGTAAATATGGTTGCAAACGGCACTGCACCCAAAATGCAGCAAACTGAAGAAGGAGCTACATATGACCCTGCACTGTTTAAGCCCGAAACGCATCAGGCAAGTGCATTTTTATCTTATTATTTACTATATTAGCTATTGCCTGCCTTCACTCACTCACAAGTTACATGCAGGTCAAAAATCCTTAGTAGGTGCTTACAACATAAAAAGCATCAGACGCCGAAATTTCAAGTTTGTAGCTCCAGAGTCATTTAATATAAAAATATGAAATATAAATAGATAATAATAAAAAAACTAGGCAGAGCCTGTGCTACGGTAACCAGACTGCTAATAAACATACATACATTTTTAAATACATATGTACATATTATAGAACATATTATAAATTACACCCAGACAGAACAAATTACCGTGCTCATCACACAATATTTGTTTTACTTGGGAATCGAACCCACGACCTCCGGCTTAACAGGCAGAGTCACTAACCACTAGACCAACAGTCCCGTCAGATGTTATACTATCGTGCAAATAGTTTCCTTATTTTTTTTTTGTATTTTTTTAAATTCGACGACTTTTCGCCCCATTTACAGTACATAGGTCAAAATTCTTTATAACTTATTTTTACTAACAGATCGACTGGACCAAAGGAGGTTTCGCGCTACACAACTTTATCCGCGGTCTCGACTCTTCCCCGGGCGCCACAACCTTCATCAGAGCTCAAACTAAAGACGGCCTCGTACCCGACAGTGATGAGAAAATTGAAGTGAAGTTGTTCGGCTCGTCGCTGTGGCAGGCCGAGTACGAAACGAAAGGGGACGTACTGGTTATAGATGGGTTGAAGAAGTCTGCGGTTATACATGATGCTGGGTTGTTAATTACGGCCAATGATGGCGTAAAGGTAACTTTTTTATACATTTAATTTATTTACATAAAAAAATTTAGAACAATTTTTTATATCCAAAAATATGGCAAACCAGGTATAAAAGTTCAAGCGTGCGGGGTAGGTAAGTCAGGGTTAGCAAGTATTTTCCTTGGGGAATAAGTATTAATGCTATTTCTAAAATAAGAACACATTCCTGTCAGTTCTATCTGTGTTATTATTCAAAATAATTAAAACTAAAAACTTACAACTTAAAAGTCCTGTCCTAATATAACTACTACTTATGTCAAAATAATAGGAATAACTTGAAACTTCTAAAACTTTGAAGATAATGTGTAAAGTTATAAGCAAAGAAAAACTTCACACAATATTTACCAAAATTTTCTGACAATTCGTAAACTTAATCTTTTTTTTGTAGTTAAACATCCAACGTCTAAAAGTCAACGGCAAAATGATCAACGCCCAGAACTTTTTTAAATCGAATGAAGCCAAAGTGTCCCTAGAACTAACACCAGAAGAAAAAGCCTTCGTAGAAGGCGCGCGGAACATATGGAAAGCGATCCTACGTATAGACATCGAAGATGACACAGACTTTTTTGAATCAGGAGCCGGGTCTATGGACGTCGTGAGACTTGTGGAAGAAATCAAGGACTTTGCTAACATTGAATTGCAAAATGAAGATATATACATGAATACTAATTTCGAAGAATTCTATAACGTAGCTGTTCTGAAGGCCAGAGGCGGTTCGGCTTCTCAAGAAGTTGTATACGAAGGTGTCGAAATGGATGTTAACAAAATGAAAATAAAGTTCCCCACACAATTGTTTATAAATGGCGAATTTGTCAATGCTGATAATGGGAAGACAATAACGATAGTTAACCCTACTGATGAGAGTGTCATTTGTAAAGTGCAGAGTGCGTCGGTGAATGACGTGGACAAGGCTGTTAGGGCTGCGAAGAAGGCCTTCGATGAGGGTGAATGGTCTAAAATCAGTGCTAGGGAAAGAGGACAGCTGTTATTCAAGTTAGTATACTATTTAATTTATAGACCAGTTTTTTTTCACGAAACCATTGTAATGTGTAAGTATATAAAAGTATATAAGTGTAAATGTATTTAAAATCTTAATTTCTTCTTGAAATTGCATTGATTCATGCGTTTTTGATTCTCGTAGCGGGTTCAAATCCCGCTTAATACTAATATTTGTTTTTATGGAAACGAGCTGACGGATTTACATGCTTATGTCAACTTGTGTAAATTATCCGTATTGTAGAAGCTCTGTTTAGTATTAATATCATAACTGTGTATCAGAATATATTTTTTATAATAATATTTGTATGTATTACCTATTTCTAAAAATATAATTTTGTTATATAACAGATTAGCTGATCTAATGGAACAACACAAAGAAGAGTTAGCCACGATCGAATCTATCGACTCCGGCGCAGTGTACACACTCGCTCTTAAAACACACGTCGGAATGTCTATCGACACGTGGCGGTACTTCGCCGGGTGGTGTGACAAAATCCAAGGTTCCACCATCCCCATCAACCACGCTAGACCGAACAGGAACTTGGCGATAACAAGGAAGGAACCTATTGGGGTCTGCGGAATCATCACACCATGGAACTATCCCCTGATGATGTTGTCGTGGAAAATGGCCGCGTGTTTAGCTGCCGGCAATACTGTTGTTATGAAGCCTGCTGCTGTAAGTAGGAACACCTTTCTAACATAGTGTCAACAAGCTATGTAATTCTGATTTTACAAAAATATGGGCTAGCCTTGCAATTATTGACGTATATGTGTATATGTTCATGTGATGATGAATAAAGAATATGGAGTGTCACCACCCTTATTCATCCATCAAACTACGCAGGACATCAGCGCTGCAAAGAGAAGGAGAACTTGACACAAACCTTATACCAACCAGTCTGGAAAGCGTGGTATAGTAGGCCAAAATCTCCTTTCTAAGGACAGGCCTATGCCAGGCAGTGGACTATTAAAGGCTCTTGGTGTTGATGTGTGTATAAATAACATGTGACGGTTTCCTGTTACACATATCCGTCCCTTTGATAATAGATTTTAGAAAAGCGAGAGGAAAAACGTTACACATTAAAAAAAAATAGACAAGGATGTTTGCATTACGTATCTTAAATGTTACCGATTATTTTCATTACACAGAAAACGATTTTTCTAACCACATAAATGTCTAGAGAGGACTTAAGACAGTGAACTGCTTCACAGAATCCTTCCAAATGGTAAAAATGGGAATGTCTCTCTGTCCAGGTGTGTCCCCTGACCGCGCTGAAGTTCGCGGAGCTGTCTGTGCGCGCGGGCATCCCGCCCGGCGTCATCAACATCCTGCCCGGCAGCGGCGCCGTCACCGGACAGGCGCTGGCGGACCATCCCCTCGTTAGGAAACTGGGATTCACTGGCAGCACTGAAATAGGTCAGTATCTTCTTGTGTAAGAGAACTAACGCTAGAAAAATTCCGTTAATCATACTGCGTTTGAAACATGATGGTGCTTCGCTCGTTCTTATAGTTTTGATTTCGTACGCATTAGGAATATATCCCGTGTCGCGCTGGACTTTCCAAACATACAGAAAACAGACACATCCAGACTCGGAACAACAATTTGTGGATCACACAAAGTGTCACCTCATGTGAGGTGGAAACGGCGTGGCGACCGCTTAAACCACTACGCCATCACATTGGAGGAGGATGTCTAGAATGTTTAGATAGTGGATTTTATCAATCGTCAAATTTTTGGTTGCTCATTATATTTTAAATCTGCAAATATAACAATAGAGTTTATTTTCAGGTCAAACAATAATGAAATCATGTGCCGCCTCAAATATGAAGAAAGTGTCGTTGGAGCTGGGTGGCAAGTCACCGCTTGTTATATTTGAAGACTGTGATCTCGACAAGGCTGTTAGAAATGTGAGTCACTTAACGTATACATATAATTGGGATATACATACAGAAATACATTTTGACTGGCCTGTTGGCTTAGTGGTTAGTGACCCTGACTGTTACGCCAGAGCTCGTGGGTTCGATTCCCACCGAGGACAACTAACTTTGTGATGAGTACGATTATTGGTACTGTTTCTGGTACTTCACCTAGAATATGTATGTATTTATAAATATATATATATATATGTTTATCAGCAGTCTGGTTACCTGGTAATCGTATTCCCCTTTTACCTAGCTTATGGTATACGAGTATACTAGCCATCCACCCCTGAACAGTAGATGGTTACTTGCACACTTGAGCTTTGGGCTCCGCTTCGAGCTGTCGATTTACTCTAATCTAAAACATCATCTGACAGGGTATGGGTTCAGTATTCTTCAACAAAGGTGAGAACTGCATCGCAGCGGGTCGCTTGTTCGTGGAAGAGACGATACACGACGAGTTCGTGCGACGCGTCGTCGCCGAGACCAAGAAGATGCGCATCGGCGACCCTCTCCACAGAGCCACCGCGCACGGCCCGCAGAACCACAAGGCGCACATGGACAAGCTTATCGAGGTTACTATATATGGCTATTGCTTACAGTCGAGGCGCTGGACGTCCGAAGCCATTACTCTCTCGGTATACGTAATATTCGGATACTAGCTTTATGTCGCGTCTTTATTCATTAGTAAAGTTTTTTTGAAGTGAAGAATTCTTAAGGCGCTTTGGGCGTTTTTGAACAACAAACAAAATAATGTATTTTTTAGATGGGGAAAACCATTGAACTGATAGCGACACTGGTACCGTTACCTCTGTAAATAAGTACCTACATAAATTGGCCCCTTTTACACGATAGTTGAGTTTGCGTTGAAATGCATTGATAATATAACTTTATATTATATAAACATACATGGTTTATATACGTACAACATAGATATATATTCATGTCGGAACTTTTCGAATAAAAAAAAAACAACCTGTGATAATAAATAAAAAAATCACTTTTGTCGGCACTCCCGGAGTCCCACTGTTTTTTTTTCTTGTTTAAAAATACGCTAAGTCCTTCTCCGTACCTCTGTGTTGAAGGTGTGAAAAGCGTAATAAACAAAAAGAGTTACTATCGCCTTTATAAAATTAGTATAGTTTCACTTCACTCCAACAAAAATTTCAACAGCAGAATTTGAAGTCAGCGTATTTTGTATACACCGTCCAAGAATGAATTTATATAAGTAATTTATTTACGGAAAAATTGTAATAATCCTCAAAAAAATACTTATCAACCGAATTTTTGTATCATCCCTAATAAGTGCGAGAGTTCGTATCTTCATTTTTAATATCGAAAATATGTTTATTATACTTGACAATGTCCATAAAGTGGCTTATTTATTAGTGCATTTCAATTTCTTACTGTAATACATTCTTCATCTTACAGTTCAGTGCCCGTGGTGTGAAGGAAGGCGCGACGCTAGTGCTGGGCGGCAAGCGCGTCGACCGCAAAGGGTTCTTCTTCGAGCCCACCATTTTCACTGACGTCACAGACGACATGTGGATTGCTAAAGAAGAGTCATTCGGCCCTATCATGATTATCAGCAAGTTTAGTAGCAAGTGAGTATTCTGCAATTTATTGACGAAACAAGCAACAGCAAATTCCTTGAGACTAATTACATTTTTACGTTTGTCTGCCTCGGTGGTACAGTGGTAGCGTATACGAATCCTGTCCTGAGGTCTTGGGTTCGATTCCCGGGTCGGACCCAAATGTTTGTATAACCTGCAAATATTTATTTCGGAGCTTGGGTGTTTTCTATCTATGATATGTATGTATTTACAAAAATAAAGGATATAAGTATTCTATCAGTCAATCTAGCTTTCATAGTACAAGCTATGCTTCGTTTGAAACTAGATGGCGTTCAGTGTCAGATGTCAGAAATTTTTTAATAAAGTTGAAAATTCTATTTTTTTTACGCTGATAATACAATCTAATGATTGACCGTCATTGAATCCATGACATCACACTTCCGTGGATAAATCGTCGTCGAAGCATCCTTGCTTTGCTGAAAATAGTCCAGGCACAATTTTTTTCATACTCATAAATTAAAATGAAAGTTAAAATATTGATGTGTCGTGTGGTGGCAGGAACATGGACGAGGTGATCCGTCGCGCCAACAACACGGAGTACGGGCTGGCGAGCGGCGTGTTCACGCGCGACGTGTCCCGCGCGCTCTCGTTCGCCGAGCGCGTGGAGGCGGGCACCGTGTTCGTCAACACCTACAACAAGACCGACGTCGCCGCGCCCTTCGGCGGCTTCAAGCAGTCCGGCTTCGGGAAGGATCTCGGTAATTAGAATTATATTTTTTCACGGAACCCAAATTTTTATATTTCCATTATAATTAAGTTACTGCTCATAACATTAGTTTACTGTCAGTGTAAGTCCTATCCGTGTGGTGACGGATCAAGAATGCAGTGTCATCTCGTGGGTATCGAAAGAGCCGGGTTAGGGAACGAAACTACGCAGAACAAGGGCACTGAAAAGAGAAGGAAAACTTGACACAAACCCTATACCTACCCATCGGGCCAGCGTGGTATAGTAAGTCCTTTCTAAGGAGAGGCCTATGTCCAGCTTTGGATCCTATCCCATTCCAGAGATTAGCCTGATAAAAAGAACAGACAAAATTCCTAAATATTGTTTCTTTGGCAAACATACCATGTAAACATACAAATTAATTAAAGCTTTTATGGTGACTCTATTAGCAGACACCTATGTTATTGAAACACATTATTGTGGCCTGTATTTGTGATCAGATCACACTGTTAGATATAGCTGACCGCAACCACCGTTTAGTATTGTTGTTCAAACCCATTCAAATGTTATTAGTATTGTAGTACTTTACGTTTTATCTTTGTTACAGGTCAAGAAGCACTAAACGAATATTTGAAGACCAAAAACATAACAATTGAATATTAATCAAGAGATGTTTCTAAAGCATCGATCTCGAATAACTAAAGTTTTTAAAAACACAGAAGCTTAAAAGCCGCCTTTTCAAATATTGACTACAAATAGAATTTGTATTGTCTATAGTGTTCATATCACAATTTGATCTGAACACACTGATCTGATTTTATTTTCTTTAAATATTATTAATATAATTCTAAGATACTAAATAAGTTATAGTATATATGAATGTTATTATTTGTATAAATTATATTTAATTTGCTGTACATAAATAATTATTAAGATGACTATAATTCAATAATATCAATTTGGTATTTTAACATGGCGTTTTTATTTCGTTTCATACATTATACAAGTTTAGTTTACAAACATTAAAGTCAATATAGAAGAACAAATGAAAAATCTACTAGAAACTAAAAAGATTTATAATAAACAAAACGTTCGGTATCCTTCAAAACAATTATTTTACCGATTTATGTACAAAACATTACAGACATTTGACAATAAACAGCTAGTTTGGTGGCAATTCTATCTTCAGTAGTGAATGGAATGTTTAATCCACTCTTTCTCTGTGTCCAACTGCGGTCTTTGATTCCACTTTGCAAGGACTTCGGCACTGAAATAGTTCACTAATACATATAGTTCGTTCGCGTTAAGAATGCAGCGAGTCATCACTGCGACTGCAGGGTAAAGGAGCAAAAAAATCTTTAAAAACCTTGTTCAGCGTGGTGAAACAAATTATGGTTTTAAAGATTAACTTTTATGGATTCATAAAATTCTAATTAGTAATGATTTGATTGGTTACGGAGCGTGGCTAGTCCGGCAGATGATGACGATTCTCTGCATTCTTAACGCGAACGAACTATTGTTGTCGTTAGAAACCACTTACCTATCCCTTAAACCACAAGTTAGTTGTCTTAATACGCGGATGTTAACCCAGTAAGATATGTTTTATGGCTTAGGGGGCCAACGAGCAGACGGGTCACCTGATGGTAAGTTACTACCGCCACCCTACCTGCACCTACAAAGTCAAGAGTGCCAATAACTTTGGACCAAAGCATCGTACTCTCTACAACGTTGATAATTAATTCTCTTATGTAATTCAATATTAGTTTTGTGTTCCATTGTTTAAGGAGATACTAGATTGAATTTAAATTAAATTCATTTAAATTCGAACCAGTTTTCAGAATAAGCATGCAATTAGTTTTACACATGCAATCGTATGTGTGTCGGTGTGCGTTACCCCAGCAAAATAATGTCGAAAATGGTCATTTAAACGTTATAGATAATTAGTTGCTCCCCTTCTGTAATTGTTAGGCACATTTTTAAATTTGTTTCACTTAAACTTTTTTAGTTATTTCAAAAAAACATTTCCTGCTGGGGTAACGTGTGTGTGTAACTGTGTATCGTATATGTGATAAATACTAATTCAGTAAAATCTTACCGAATTTCTTCGCGTTCACTTGATATGCTCCTAGGGTCCCCAGCGAGGGTGCTTGATTCTTGGTAATCATCGTTTCTACAAATATTTACCTGAGCTGTGGGACAAACGGCGAGGCGTAGAAGAACTATGTCCTTAGTTATTCTAAAAAGAAAAAAATAGGTACAGACCTTGCCCTCATAGAATAATAGGATAATAAGTAGAGGAAGTAAAATATAACAGGCACGTGAACATTTCGGAATCTGATTGCCTCATGTTGTAAAAGTCATAATTAGGGTGATCATAGTTCTTTCACATCATCATCAACAGCCTATGATAGTCCGCTGCTGGACATAGGTCTCTCCTCTGAAAGGAGGTTTGTTAGTAAGAGTTCATAGTAAGTAACATAGCTCTTTAAGCAGCTTTTTTTCTTCTTAGCCAAGTAAGTTACATCATGTTCATGTTGCAAATGCTCACAGTAAACGATAAAATCATATGCTTCTAGCAAATTAAAGCGGCTATTTTAAATGATAGGTACTTATTTCACGTGAAATTTTATTTATCATAGCGAGCTTTATTTAAAAAAACAGAGATACGAAAAAGAAACAAGCGTAAAAGAAAACCTAATGTATTGTTAAAATATATTTAACTAGCTTCAAAAAGGAGGTTTATAATTCGATTGATTTTTTGGACTTCTTACTTCTTCTTTGCCTTTTCTGGAATGATTTCAATAGTTTTTCTAAAAAAACATAGTTGAAGTAATACCGCATAAAACAATTTACCTAGGCTCATGATAGTTATTAGTTATACAGACTGTAAGGGACGTCGTAACCGTATGCGGTATTTATTAAATTGTATTCGGTAAAATGTTCTGTTTACTCATTGTGATATCATTTTTCATAATTTTTGAACAAAAAATGGCTTAAAAAATGATACATTTACCGGAAGAAAATTCCAATAATCTTCGACTCAGAATCATGGTCTGAATACACTATTTCAGTATTAGTTACGACGTCCCTTAGGTACACTTTGTGTGCTTATGTTAGTTACATAAGCTCTCTATTAAGTTAGAATTTATAAAAGACACTCGTTTATCCTTACCTGTCATATTCTTGCGAGCTGTAAGGCAACTCATTCCTTGCTAGGTTAACTGTAGAATAGGACCTGCAGACTTTCTGAAAAAAGAAACATCAATTAAACTCCTGTATTATGTTGGAAAGCAGCAGGCGGATCTGTTGATGCTGTGTGCCACATTTGCTTCTAATTTCTTCTCCACTTTTATTTGTGAAAACCTATAAATGACACCTCACTATATAATTCTTCCTCTTCTCTCTTTATCTATAAATTTACCTAAAATGTATAAAATAAAAACGGCGTGAGGAGTCTGTGGACCCTGGTCGGAACGAAGTTCCTTACGCATTTTGCTAAACAGTCATTATAATTTATATAATGAAATATCAAGTTAATAGGGTTAAATTGCAAAATTTATGATAAAATAAATTTATTATGTATGGCGTGAGAGGTCTACCTATGGCCCCCGTTCGGAACGAAGATCCTTTCGCTTTGTGATATTATACCTAATATACTATATTACATTTTCATTAAGATTTTATTGAGAATAGATAAGTTATAGTTACTAGGTAAAGTTTTTGATTTAATTAGTTAGAAAAAATCTATAATAATTTAGTACATTTTTCGCTTTTTAGTTTTTTTAGGTAGGGAGTTTTTATTAATGTTTTTTTTTAATCGGTTTAATATATTTTTTTATTGTTTTTTTTTTCATTTTTAGTGTAAATAATCATAGGTACGTTAGTACGTCGTTTACAGCGGTCACATCGCCCCAAGATGTGGCCGCAGCGACCCTTAGGCGGCGATTGGGGAGTTAGCGACCTCTGCCACGTCCCCTTCGCCGCCTCCTTCGAGCGGGATCGGCCCTCTCCCGATCCCGCTCTGCGGCCTCCTTTTGGAGCATAACGTCCTCGCAGAAGGAGACCGCGGCTGCCCATCCCTCGCCACTCACCAGCATTGCCGCGATTAATGCTGGCGGTGACAGGTTTCGTCCGATCTGTCCGACCAGGACTCGACGTTCGGACTCCCATGCAGGGCAGTCCTCCAGAGTATGCTGGGCGGAGTCCCGGTCGGACCCGCAATGGTGGCATTGTGTCGTGGCCTCCCGTCCAATTCGATTCAGATACTCACCGAAGCAACCGTGCCCGGTAAGCATCTGAGTCAATCGGTAGGTGACACAGTCGTTCCTCCCTACCCACGCTTCGAAGCTCGGCAGAACGGCTCCAACGGCGCGTTGGCTGGCACAGCCCTGGATTACAAGCCGTGCCTGCCACGCTCGCAGAGCCTGGGTATGCGCGTTCCGCCGTAGCATTCCGGGCTCATGATCCGGCGCGGCCTCCTCACCATTCCGACCGACAGAACGGACTTGGTCATAGACCATCGCGTCCATGTCGGCCAGAATGTCGAAGGGTGGATATCGCGCCAGGACCGTCGCCGCCTCAAACGAGATGGTACGATAACCCCGTACGACCCGTATGGCCATCAACCGCTGTAGGCTTCTGAGTAGAGCCTTGCAGCGGGAGGCACCCGCCAAGTCATTAGACCAGACGGGCGCCCCATAGAGAACCATGGATCGCACGACCCCCATATAGAGACGGCGAACTTCTTCCCGTGGTCCCCCGAGATTGGGCAGCAGGCGATGCAGTGCACCCGCTACCCCGCGCACTCGGGGGACTAATCGCACGAAATGCTCTTCGAAGCTCCACCGACTGTCCAGGATGAGGCCTAAGTACTTCATGTACCGGCCCACCTGGACTTCAGCGTCACCCACCCGGAGGCATGAGCTGGGTGGTTCCTGGCGCTTACGTAGGCCATGGAACCATATCGCCTCAGTTTTCTGAGGCGCCACCTTCAGACCCAGCTCATGAATCTTTCTCACGACACAAGCCACCCCATGCTCGGCGAGCCGAAGCACCTCGTCGAAGTGTGGCCCTCTAGCCAGTATTAAAGTGTCATCAGCATAGCAGACAACACTAAGGCCAGAGGGCAGACTGGTGCGAAGGACCACATCATATGCGACCACAACAAAGGGCCTAAAACAGAGCCTTGGGGAACCCCGCAATACACCTCTCTCCGATTTTCCACCCCGCCCCGACCGATAAACTTCACTGTCCTATCGCGCAGATAGGCCCCAATGACGGCCCGCAGGTAGAGCGGCACCTCATGAAATTCAAGGGCCGCCCTTGTCGCCTGCCAGGGGAGGGTGCCGAACGCGTTGACGATATCAAGGCTAACCGCCAAAGCCACCCCCCCTGATCGGACTGCCGACTCCGACATGGAGCGAACGCATCTGATAGCGTCCACTGTCGAACGCCCCCGTCGGAATCCAAACTGGCAGTCCGACAGATCAGGGCCTACTCGCGACAGGTGCCCGCTGATACGATCGGAGATAACCCTCTCAAAGAGTTTCCCCGACTCGTTCAGCAGGCATATCGGTCGGAACGCAGAGGGAGAATCTGCAGTCCTACCTTCCTTTTTCAAGAGCACCAGTCTCGCTTCTTTCCAGCCGAGGGGGAAGACACCGAGGCTAAGACAATCTGTGAAAATCCGCCTTAGTTTGTCCCCCCGTACCGACAGAGCTATCACCAGCGCCCGACCTGGAATACCATCAGGTCCGGGCGCAGTGTTGCGGGAAGCCAGCCGCTGCACGACTCGGTCCAGCTCTCCCTCCGTCACCTCCCACTCGTCGGACCAGATTTGACGGTCCGATTGTAACGGAGAGATCAAGGGACTGTCCTGGACCCTTGGGAAGAGCGTGTCTACCACTCTTCCCAGGAACTCCGGGTCCAGGGTTTCCGTCAATGGAGGACGACGATAAACGACTCGAGACAGATGACACTCCGGTGCGGCCGGGGGCTGTCGTCTAAGGCGGGATGCTGTTGCGCCTTTTACGCCGTAGAACAGTGAGAGGCGCGGTAGCGTCCTGCCCCAGGGTGACTACGGTCACTCCGGGATGTGCCTCAGACTGAGGTACGGCAGGGAGGACTCCAGAAGTCGCCGATGCGTTCCTGGAGCTCCTCCCGACTGCCGAGGTAGGCCGCCGCGGGGTTTAGTGGGTAGACCGGTTCTCCGGGAGTCCCACACACGCCCTACGTTTCCCTAACGGAGGGTATGGTGCGAAAAGCATTCCCCGCGTGAAAAAAAAAAAAAAAAAAAAAAAAAAAAAAAAAAAAAAAAAAAAAAAAAGGTACGTTAGTACGTAGTAGGTTCTACTAAAGTCGCGAGAGGTACTATAAATAGGTAATATAAATTTTATATGTATAGATGACGACGTCTCTATTGAAACAAAATCAAAAGCGCCTGTGTCAACTAAAATCGTTCAACATCCCCGTAACTTTTAGTTAGCTACGGGAGTGTTGAACGGAGTATGCTACTGTACTCCTCAGTTGGGCAGTTACGGTGCATAAACTCCAGGGCACTACCCTAAAATTCCCAAAGGCAAAGATTATGTTGTGCTAAGTTGCGTCATCATCATCATCTCATCAACAGCCTTTAATAGTCCACTGCTGGACATAGGCCTCTCCTTAGGAAGGAGGTTTTGGCCTACTATACTAAGTCGCGTAAAGATGCCATAATGATGGTGTTGCTCTTTGAGACTTAAGGCCACAAAAAAGCAACGATTAAGACTAATTGTGAATATTTAAATTAGAAAACTAAGACAAGCTAGTTATGTAGTGCTGGTTGCTATCCAACCCTCAGCTTTGCATGTCTTTTTTTATTACAGGTTTAGTAACCTACCGACATAGTTGTCGGCATCTTAAAGTATCATCACAGGTTATTGTGGTTTACCCTTAGAAGATAGACATATATAGCGGGCATTTATAGGGTAAGGTCAAATTGTCCTCGAAGAAGCTCGGTGTGCTGAACAGATCGAGGCAGTATTTCACTCCAGCCACTCGCCTTCAACTCTATAAGGCGCAAGTCCAACCGCACATGAAATACTTACTGTTCTCATCTCTATGCACAGGCACCACGATACCAGCTTCTCCCTCTGGGCCGTATCCAAAGAAGAGCAACTCAAATCGTCGATGGCCAAAAGATTTGCGACCGATGCGATCTTCGCTCTGGATTCTCTATCGTATATATCATGGAGAGTGCTCCGAGGAATTGTTCGGACTAATACCGACCGCAACAATCACCACCGTTCCACAGGGCAAAATTTTCATCCCCATCACTTGGAAAGTTGGTGCTCCACCACTGAGCGCTTTTCAAGACACCTTTTGCCTTGCACTACCAACCTGTGGAACAAGTTATCGGCTGCGGTATTTCCGGACCGATACGACCTTCAAACCAAGAAAAGAGCGTACTCCTCCCTCAAAGGCTGGCAACGCGCTTTAATTTATTATAAGTCTGCTCGTTTGCCCCCATTCCATAAAAATAATAGTAAAATAAAATTTAAATAAATAACTGATTTGTAGATCTTTTTAAGATATACAATTCCGTACTACAATGTTTTGGTCTATCTCGTGAGGTTTAGCCAGCGTTTGCAATGTAAGAGCACAAAAACATGTTTTTTATCTAATAATAAAATCTTTGAAATAATCGGATTTTCTCTACTATAATATACATGTGTTATACATATACATAAACCTTCCTCTAGAATTACTCTCTCTATTAGTGAAAACCGCATTTAAATCCGTTGCTTAGTTTAAAAGATCTAAGCAAGTGCGTGCGTACTCTAACAAAAAAGTGTCGGGAATAAGTCTTATTACACTTTTGCGGATGGGGGATCCGCTCAGAGCGTGTAAGGCGCGATATGGAACTTCGTTCCAATAAAATAGTTGAAATTATATTGATAACAAAATAAAATATTGTTTAACAGTAAAATTGACTAATTCAAAATGAGTTGAATTTTTTTGACTCCCGACGCAAAAAGGAGTGCCATGAGCTTTACTTGCGGACCCATGGTTGCTTGTGACACAACTTCTAACAACTTCTATACGGATAAACTTTTACTAAAAAAATTTTAAATGTTCTTAAAATTTGAGAACATAATATGGTTTTAATGCTATTCCCGGAGGATCCTTCATTATTGCCACTAAAACTAATTTCGCACGTATCTTACTGTGCGTCCAAAGTCCAAGGACATCAGTCCTACGAGGTAGGTACCTAGTGCATTGTACTGCCATAACGAGAGTTCAGTGCGATGTAATTATTTGCATGAATATCTCTATTTACATTTTTCAAGGCGTTTGTTTATAATATGTATGTATTATAATATGTATATATTATTATATATGTATGTTTATTGGTGTTCTAGAGCCAATGGTGTGAAATCAACTTAGTTGAGAGAGCGATAGCAATGGAATCATATTATTATAAACCCTCGAGTCGATATATCTAGGCCCTCGTCGAAACCAGGCGGTATTATATCGTACAAATAGCACTGGTGGTGTAAAATATGTACAACGTTTAAATTACATTATAACTAATAATATTATTACATTACTTAATAACATACATTACTAATTTAGACTGTGAATAAATACGATTATAGTATATACAAACAGTACGGTATGTAACACAAAATGTTCGCTTACATAAAGGAATGGAGTTCTGAAATTTATCGCTCTTAACATTTTAACACAATATGCTTAAATAGATGTATATTGAATTAATATCACATAAAATTTTGTTTAACGTCTTACGTTGAATTTTTCTCCAATATCGTCTTTGAGTGAATAAACAATCTATGGTAAGTATTCTATTTTTGAATGACACAATATAGCAAATAATAGTTGTTTACAGTTCTGTTTTCTATACTTTGTAGTTTCATGAACTTTTTACTCCGAAACAAATTAATTATCTGATGTTGAATTTAGTAATTAAAGCTCTCGTGCAATAACTATAAATATTTAGATCTTTCTAAAATGACTGTCAGGTGTCTGGTCACAGATGCGGCCTTTTGGGGGTGGTGAGCAGGGCAAACGCCCAGTGTCTCGCGCAACGGGGCTTTCTTGTGTTTTATTTCGCTTGTCATTATGACAGGCTTTCAGAGTCAACGGAGTCAACTGTCGTCGAATTAGGCGTTTATGTTCGAGCAGCAGTATGTGTTAAGTTTAGACATTGGACAAAATCACATGATGCATTTGCATACGTAGGTTAGAATTAGGGTTGCTAGTTTTTTTTTCATTATTTTGAATGGAAGGGAAAGGTTGCTAATATATATAGTATAAATAAATAAGCGATTTGCGCAAGATGGCTGGCAGGAGTTGGATGCGAGAAGTCCAAAATCCATCTAAGTGGCATGCAATGGGATAGGCCTATGTCCAGCAGTAGACTGCGAAAGGCTGATGATGATAATGATGATAACGTCCTTCACGTTATATAAAGGTTGAATTTGTGGAACGAAGTTCCTTATCGCGCGTTGTGAAAGGGGGCTAGACGGAAAAAAATCTCACGAAAAGTTGTAACGACACTTTTTATTTTGAATTGTCACTTGTCAGTCATTCAGCGCCATCTATCGAATAGATAGGAAATCATTATTTTTCATCTCAGTAAAATTAATATTTATGTTCTTAGGTTGAGCAAAAAATATTGTATTCGACATCATTTCTCAAGGAGATTTTACCAATGTATAAATTGTTTTAATTAGAAACCAACTGAAAAATATGTAGGTAACAGCCGCTTTCATAGATGGCGTTGTAATTAAAATCGTGTCGAATCAGTTTTACTCGATCGTCACAACTTCGTTCCTATCGGGTGTTCCACGACACCACACGGCTTTTTTGTCTAATTTAGGCCTTCGTTCTGAAGTAGATCGTCATTCCATTCCTTAAATACCAATATCGTATAAGTAAAAATAAGTCCAAATTAAAAAAAAAATGTTCTTGTTTATATGATATTGATAAAAGTTAAAATAACCCAAACAAATTTATTGTTTTCGTCAGCCCAGGCTAAGGGACGAACAGAACGCAAGCTTCAAAATATTAAAAGACATTGACTGTCAAGTGACAACTGACAATACTGACATATCATATGTTTTTTCAGTGATTCCAAAGCAAAGGATTAAAAGAGTGAAAAGAAACGAAAATCTTTAATTACAAACCAATTTTTAGTGAAAAATGAGTAAGGCAAAGGTAGCTTTGCGCGATATTTCGCCAATTTTGCAAAAACTAAGGAACTTTCTTCTTGGAGTAAGTGTTCAAGCGTTTTATTTTGATCAATAATTATGTAACGTGACATAATATTCGAACGTTATGTTATTTCAGCGAGAGCATACCACTGCTTTACGTTCCGAAGTGCTAATTTCAGCCAGGACCCAGCCACAGCCTGAGATACCTGATGGAGTGTCACACAAGTAACCAAATATTGTAACCTAATATTCGAATAGTTTTCCACAATTGCTCGAAACAGGGACGTGACTTTTAAACTGTTACAGGCATGCTCATAATTACTATTACACAAGGGATGGTCGCCGTGAAGTGACACCTCCATTGAATGTTAGTCAACAACTTCTTGAAGCTAGCTCTGACAAAGGGTAATGTTTTTTGTTATGATTATATACAGTATAAAGATACCATTTGACGTACAATAGAAAAAAATGCCTTTGCTTACATTTATGTTGATTTTGTAAATTAATTTTGTCTTGATAAAAAGTAGCCTTTGTGTGATTCATCTCTGTCGTTAATTTATAGATCAGTAATTTTAAAATATTTATGAGATTATTTGAGGTACAAGAACAGTCCATAATAATTATGTCTGTAGGGAGTATGGGGTTACATAGATCATAGGTATTAAGTACATACCTTTGAACTGCCAAATGTTTCACATATTTCACATATTTTTTGGCATTCGTATTCGCAAGAAACAAAGCGAATGTTTGGCGAATGTATTTGACTAACAAACAGGAAATTATAACGGACTGGATGGATCTGAAAGGATAATACAACTGTTATGATTTATAGTTTTTAATTTACTTATAAGAGTCACTTTCAGTGTCACAAATTGTAAAAAAATCCAAACTTCGGTGAAACGGGTGTTACTCATGTTTTTATATCACTTATTTACTCAGAAAGAACTTAAAGTGACTTTATAACTTCGTTCATTCAACCTGTCAAACCTAGTGCAGACTCGGCTACGTTTGGTTTCAATGTGGCTGCCACGATTTTATTATGGCACTCTCGATGACTAGTCTCTGTGCAGTTTGAGGTTTTTGTCAGGTTCAGTAGTTGCGCCATAGGATTAAATAGTTCTTGTATTTTGTAGTTAGTATATGAACAATAGTCATATGAAATCTGGGGGACAGCGCCATCTAGTATCAAGTAATGCACAACGACCACTACGAGATGTAATATTGATTTATAATTCCGATACTTGCTCCGATATTCGACACGAGATGGCGCCCTCTCGTATCGGAAGATAATAGCTCATAGAAATATACATAGGTCACTCTAGAAAGTGCTATCGGATCCTCGGGATTACTCTAGCAATTTCGGTGGCCCTATAAAAGCAGAGCGTGTTGGCTGTACGGGACAGTATTGTTTTACGACACGGCAAATTAACATCGAAGAGAATTTCTAATGCGACTAACGAGTTATCTAGTGATTTTTTGTTGTAATAATGAGTGTTTGTAAATACAGTGCAATTTTAGTCATTACTTTTATTTATTCAGTACCCGGCTCGTAACAATAGTTTCATATCTATATAACTGTTTGATTACAAAATTTTTACTTATACTTAACATTTTAGACGGCTTTATGAGTGTCAGTGTAGATTTTTGAACACACTAGACTGCTATCTCAACTCTAATAGTAGCGTTGTCTGGTCTACTGACAGTATTACTACATACTGATAATAATTCTATATTTGTATATTTCAGAGCCCCTAAAGCAGCAGTGAATGTATTCCGAACTCCTGGTAAACTTTACAATTGGGATAAACATTACTAGGTCAATGTGTAAATATTAAAAAAATGTAATGAATGAAAGTAAGTTTAATAAAGTTTATGTAGAATAAGCATAAATGTTTGATTTATAGTAAGTTTTAAAAATAGAGTTTACCCTACATCGTACATACGTCATGGCATCTCACTACTATGAACATTTTATAGACTAAAGACCTTAGAAACAAATACCTAGACAATGCTCTAGGCGAAACCGTAACAAACGATATTTATAATTTACCATAATTATGGTATAATTTACCATAATACCATAATTTCATGTAAGAAATATGCCAAAAACTCATTCAGATCCAAGTGTTGCAGTTGTACTGTATGACGGAAGGAATTAATTTTTATCAACCTTTTAAAAACTCATAGAATACCACCTAGTAGAGCTATACAACAACAAGGAAAAAATATAACAACAAGAGTTCAACTAAAAGTTAGAACTTGCAAAGCTTGCAAAAAAAGCTCTTTGAAAACTGGTTACTGCATGTCCTTTGTGATTTAGTCCAAGATAGATCATTAACAGGAATATTAGTTAGTATAGGTATTAACTACCGAACAGACAAAAATTTGCTGAGAGCTATGCTATGGTGTAAAAGAGCCAGCTCAACCGGAGCTCAACGATGTCACAGAAAACCGGTGTTAAGCTATCTTTCTTTGCTTTTGACCGATTGAGGTTACTGGACCCCAAAACCCAGAGGTCCTAAGGAGATTTGTTTACCAGTAATTATTACACTAAAACATTCATACAAAATAGAACATAGTTTTAACAATTTTATTAATATATTGTTATATACTAGGAGAAAGGAATGAATTTGTATTAAATTTATTTTGCTAACATTATTGATAAATACATACAATTCAAGTCAAATCATATAACGCCCGCCCGCGCCCCATGATACTGGCAGCATTGCCTCGCTGAATAAGGAATATGCATGTATTTTTTTTATTTTTTTTAACGATTCTACTAGTTATTACATTACCAAAAATAAATATAACACATCCGAAATATAAACCGTTAAGCAAAAATTTTTTTATTAAAATCACTATCATTTTGGGGCAATTTGAACACATCCATTTTGGCGCGCTTTTTTTGTGACGTCAGATTCCACTTTCAGACGAATTCGATGTCAACAACGGAGTGAAGTTCACAAAGTTTGTGAAAGTTGTAAAAATGAGTGATAAAAATTAACTTATTACCATGGAAAAGCCAATAAAAACTTATTATAAATATTGTGCCGTTCCTTTGTGCCCAAATAATATCAAAACTGCACCTGACAAAGTGCAATTTTAAATATTCAGTCATTGTGTTGAGTCTTTCTACACGGGAATTTAATAATTTAACACTGAAAACGTATTAGTTATTAACTTAAAATGAAACAAATAATCACCAGAAACCAAATATTACAAATACACACAACTTGTTGACACTCTTGACAGTGTAGGTTGACGTCACGTTTTATTCAACCAATAGCGTTGCGTTTTAGAAATTTGCGAGGGAATCTTAAAAAAGCCAATTTTTGATGATTAAATTTCACTATTAAATTATAATAAATTTCAAAAATAATTGTATGGGTATCTTTTTTTAGCAACAAAAATTACAAATAAAAATATTTTGTCCATTTCGGTGTCACGTGCATATTCCCTATTGCAACGGACATCCTTTGCACCAGAAACGAGCCGGAGCGCACACGAAGTGGAAACGTTTATCACTAACTTAACAACCTTTAGCTTCCGACTCCCAACTGCCCAAAGTGTCCACTACAATGGGCACAATATAATAATGCGTCTCCATTGCGGCGTGTTTTAATCGCTTCCTACTAGCCTCACCCCCGCCGCCGCCGCCGACTGTGATACAACATAGTATTAACCTTAATCTAAGTGCACAACAGAGATAAAAAGATCTTAACTAAGATCATACTTTCTTTTAAATTACATACCTATTATTGAAAACTAAAAATTCTTTGAAAACTTACTTGTTATTAACATGTTTATTGTTGAGAAAATCAAGCAACACATAATATGTTCAAAGAAATTTTATTTCATAGAATATTTATAACACATTCACATGCAAACTACATAATATATATACAACACAAAATACACATAGTCTTAACATTTTATACACAGCTAAACAATCTAACATGACAAATACAAGATTGTATAAGACACTGCCGTATAAATACTCTAAATCAAGTATATCGAGAACAAAAATTCGTCTAGTTATTCGTTCTAGAATCAGTGAGGTTAAACCCCTAAACATTTTTTTACTTACTGATTACATGTCGTAGATATATATACTTAATAACTTTACCATGATGATTTTAAGTTAATTTACAAATATTGTTATTGTTGAAGAAATTATTTAGGAAATATATAATTTTGGAGGCTCTAGACGTTTTTTCCTACAAGTTGAACTTCCTATTCCACACATTAACTTCTCATGCACATTCCCAAAAAAGAAATAAGTATACAATTATTGTGGTGATTCGGTTATATATCTTAATAATATTTGGAGCACACAAAAACTTTAATCGTCTTAATTTTTACATCCAAATTTTATCATTTTTATCTACAATCCCCGTAAACATGATTTTACGTTAATCTACAATTACATACAAAACACATAATAATGAAATTGGATTTTATTTCATTACTTTTTATTCCTTCTTTACATACATTTCGTACCAAGGTGTACAAAACTACTTAACAACTATCTTTAACCAGGTTTTATTACTACTCCCTCTTACTTTACACTACTCCTCAGGTACGCGTTACATATCCTTCATCTTTACTTTAATTTTATCTAAACAGCAAAATTTATTTATATCATAGTTGCATTGCGTGTCTACAGGTTAAATAACCTGACAATAATCCATCCATAGCTCTTATAAACTAGAACTGAAACGAAGAGCCTCATTTGAATTTCTTCCATATCCTAAAAACAACTAATAACAAAAAAACAAGATGCTTCTATATCGAAAAGATATGACAACATTTTAATTAATACATGGCATCGTCGATTTAAAAAAATATATCAAAAACCAATAAAAATTAATCGAAGTCACTTGAATCAGTAGAACCATCAGGCGTGCGAATTTTCATCAAAGAAAAATTACTAAAGTTAAGCATTCTCTTTCTTGGAGGACGACGAGACCTATATCTAAACTTTTGTCATTTATCATCTCCAAGGACTTGCTTTCTGAACTGCATGGCATCACCATAGGCCTTCTTGACTGCTTTCCGGTCTGTCGGTTTTCGAGATTCAATCAATTTTGCTTGATCCACGCTCTTTTCTATGCCCAAGAGCTCAAGTTTGTTCGGTGGTAGCCATTGCCATGTGCGTTTTACGTCAAAGAAGAGAACTAAGTACAGAACGGGCTCATGTGAGTGGTTTTTCTTTAGGTTGAGCACATCTTGCGGTGGAACCGGTAATGGTACACCTTTGTACATGAATCCTTTGGGAATTTTTGGGTCGATGATTAGAGCTGGATACCAAGGATAACCTCTGGAAAAATTAAAGAAACTTGGGAAACTTTAAACATGGGGTAAAAGAATATGTAGTGAATATAAAAGGAAACAAATATTAATTTGAAATTATAATAATATTGTAATGAAAATGAAAATAGGCACGACAAAGGTTAAAGCCTAAAACAAAAAGTACGCGTCTGGCTCGGTGTGTCAAACTAAATTGAGAGTCGTGCCGGAGCGCCGCCGGGTTTGGACGTATGGTTGCACGTAAGTCGCACGGATGGGCTCTGGATATTATTTATTGTCTATATAGTAGTTTAATTTGTATTTTACTGTTTTGTACATTCTTTTGAAACTAAAGTTTGATTCAAGAATCTTATAAAAAGACAAGCTATTTATTAGGTTTTGTTATTTTCTTAAACAGTAGTCGAAAATAATCTTTTTGAGGCCTCATTTAATTACAATTCGTATACACACAATAACTTGTAATTATTAAATATAATTACAAGTTATTGTGTATATACGTATTATTATTTATTACTTAAAAGTATTTATTTATTTATTTACAAAAGGTACAGTTACAGAATATAGACCAGGTAGTGCCCAAACTTACTTATAAATATTCATAACATTTTTTAATCTGCACTCCAATTACTACCGTACACAGCTTTCGGGATTTATACAGCTTCAGAGTAAGTGGAGGTTACAAAAATAAACAAGCAAGTGTTATAAGTATTAAGTATTTAACTTTGATTTGTCTGACGTTTCGTCTATATGGCACTGGCCGTGGTCACAAGCTGCTTCCGTAAACATACTTATATATTACTGAACGCGATATATATATTTAATTTAAAGTTTGTATAGTCAAATAATTGTTTTGGAGTCGATTATAAATGCTTTACATTAAGGTTCCATTACAAATTATTTATGGGTATTCCCTATGTTTATTTCAACTTTCAATTTAACTCTTAGGAAGTAGAAGGAAATGTTAGTACTGACCTGCACTTAGCCCAGACGAGCTGCAAAGGTTCTAGTTGTAAGTTTGACGCTTGAGTCGCTTTTACTGGCGTTTTAGACACTGACGAACGGGTACCGCGGCCCTGTATGTAAGAAATTGTTTAATTTCCACGCAATACGGTCATCGACCGACAAGGGACTTAAACTTTCGAAACAATAGGTACTAAAACAATTTATATGAAACGACGAATTACAACGTGATACCCCGCCATCGTCCCATCGCCTACTTTTAAGGTTTAGTTCGACAGTAAAGATATAATAAAATGGGCGTGATAAAACTCAGGAATTAAAGTGTCGTACTTAATTAACCTGAGGGCTGTTTAATAACTAAGTGTGTTATTATACAGCCGCGCCTTTCATTTGGAGTGACCCATGAAAATTTGTATATTTTTTTATGATATAGGGAGACAAACGAGCAGCTCCATGAACATTCGCAACTCAAGAGTCATGAGGAGGGGGTGTACAAAGATAGATAGATAGATGACCTTGGGCGGCGTGGAGGGCTCCGTGTCTGCGGGGTGGTGGTGCGCGGCGGCGCGGCGCGAGCGGCGGCGCGAGGGGCCCGCGCCCTCCGCCGCCCACTCCAGCGGCTCGTTGTCGCTCGACCTGACACGACACGCCGTTATACACTATATATAACTAAGTTCGTTTGAAATTCAACGCTACAGCGCTGTCACGGTATCGAATTTTAAACTAACTTCGTTTTAAGTTCGACGAAGTGACAGCGATGTACGCAAGGCTGTTTTCTTAGAAAATAGCACTGCCTATACTCTTTACATGTTTATGAAAAAAAGTTGCAAAGTTTGCTACGGAGCCGGTTCGTGTTACACTCACCGATATTGAATCGCGAAAAGCGCGTATCTCGCTGCAGTCCAGTCTGAGTTCACACACCAAAAATGTAACGTCGCCAAAATCTTTCAAAAATTTAGACGAATACTTCCTAGATGCTTGTTATACAGGTGTTCGAACAAAACGCAACAGATGTGTTCGTACAAAAACGTTTCTTTAAATTTCAGTGTGGACAGAGCGCAGTACCGCCTGTATATTAATATAACTCATCCTGATGATAATAATGATAATTAATATTTTACGTGTTATAAAACTAAACAATATGCCAGAACTTACCCATCGCTTGAGCTCATAGAACACGAATGATCAGACCCGTCATCGTCATAGTGCGTGCAAGACGAACAAGACTGTGACCACGCTGAACTACTGCTGGAAGACCTGGACAGTGCCAGGTCACTATCCGATCCGACTTCACCTGGAGGTCCTCTATACTGCAGAAATGAGGCTGGCACTGGCGTTGACAAGGTTTTGCCTTCACTAGATTGCACTGATCTGTATATTATTGCAACAGATTTGTTGATTAGCTGATAATTAATTTACCAAAAAAAAAACAATTATGACAGTTTGGAAAGCGGCAAATGCGTAGTGTGACGCTTATACAGTGCAGAGGCCATAAAAAAACTCGAACTGTTATATATTGTTTGTTATTTTAACAGTAGGCAACTACCTATTACTATTTGTGTAAATCGAAAGGTACTGCAGGTTTACATACCTGAACAGATCAGGCGATGACGTAGACTTATCGTTGTCTTGCTTCCTGGGTCTGCCGCGACCTTTCTTCTTCGGCGACGGATCTAAGCTCGACCGGCCTAAGCTAGCTGATAGGGTCGGCAGGGATGCTGTGTAAATAACATTATTATTGATTATTTCTCGTAACACCGTTTAATACAAAGCAATGACGAAGACGTATACAATCCAGGCGACATTAAAATTATCACAAAAAAATTACCATCAGATCCAAAGCTTTTCGGTGGTGTAGTGATAGACGACGGTGAGACAAATAACGTAGGTTTTCTTAACCCTCCAAGGAGTCCAAGACCTGTAGTAACTGTAACCAGAAACAAAATGTTATGTTCGTTAACACCAACACAATTTGAGCAGTCATCATCAGAACTTGTATACACTTTTATAAATGTAAATCAGGTACAGATTAGTTATTTCCGATAAACATTTGCAAGACGACATCTACTTCTGCTAATATTCCATAAAACTCATTGTTTGATGTTTATCGAATCGCATTTGTTGGCGATTCGATAAACACCACCTTTACCTTACTGAATTTATACATATTTCTTGTGACTTAGGGGTCTATTATAACTGCCATGATGTTGAGAATAGATAGATTAATAACTTATATAGCTTTCAACATGAATTGATTAATTAAATTAGAAGCTAGTAACAAATATTTTATTCTTTCAAAATAAGGCATTGTAACAATACATTCAACAACGGGCTAGGTTAGTACATCTCGTGTTCAGTATGTGTTAGTTAAGACTATTTATAAGGAAAGCCGTTTACTTGGTGTATCTCGTGTGGTAGGTGTAGTCTCTGGTTTGGGTGGGGACTTCTCGGGTGTAACAAGCTTATGAGTTCGGTCAACGCTTTTCCTAATCGTTGCTGGGTTCTCAGAGTCTGAAGTCGGAGTTTCTGTAACATAATTACACGAATGCAAAAGCCTAGTAAATTATATTTATCATTATTTTCCATTGACATATTGAAATATTTTCTTGGCCTTCTTTTACTTCTTTTTGATAAATTAAATGACATCAATGAATGAAACTAGAAACAAAACTTCGTAGAGTAAAGCCAGCGTGGTATAGTAGGTCAAAACCTTCTTTTTAAGTCTAGCAGTGAGTGACAAATTAAGGCTGTCGATGATGACGTTCGATTAGTTTGATGACTCACCATTTTCAACAGTATCTCGCAACGTACGTGCAGACGCAGTAGCGTTGACAGATCGTCCCCGCCCCCGTCCCCCGCGGCGGCCCCGGGCCCGCCCACGCCCGCGCCGCCACCAGCGCCGCGGCTCCGAACCACCACCGCCGTCCGCGGGAGATGAGGCGCGCTAAAATACAAATCTTAGCGTTATAGTTAGTACACAATTACTCTGAAAATTATTTATATGAATTGCTACCCTCGCTAAACTGTATAATGTCAATAATTAAATTAAAAATTTAAAAAAAACCACGACACACATCTTGGATTTGAAATTTGTCATAGTGTATAGTATTTTATTAGTCAAGCCCTTTCATTTGATACCTATATTGAGGGAGTTGTGAAAAAATATGTAATCCGCCATTTTGAGGCGGCGGCCATCTTGGACCGATTTTCATCAAACATAGCTAAAGAACAATTCCGACTAATTCATCTTTCAAATAATCAAAATAGGTTCATCCGTTCGGGAGCTACGATGCCACAGATACCCCCTTCGTTTAAATTACACTAATTATAAAATTTTACCTCCAGGGTAGTTTCCACATCAGAATCATGACGTGCCACTGACTGTCGTTTTTCACTGCGAGCCATTGATACCCCACGCTCATTACGCCTATCTGTTAACACAAAGATTAAAAAAAATGTTTTTATTGTAGTTGAACATTGTTTTATGTAAATATTAATTAATAAAAACATTTTTAATAATTGCTGTTGATTGTCCTCCTCTTCCTATTAAAAAAAAATGCCCTATAGTGTTCATATCTTTGCATTTGCTTTTGTTTGACTGAGACATGTTTCAAAACTGAATTAAACTGTACTTACCAGGTGTGTGATCACTCTCACTGCTTGATCTGGGTCTACTAGCCGCTCGGCTAACACTTCTCCGTCCACTGAGCGTTCGCAATGGACTGGCCTGGCGCACAGGACTGGTGCGAGGGCTAGGCTCAGGGCTGGCACTGCACAGATCTACGAGACCCGCTTCGCGCACGTCCCGCCGAGCTTGGCGGAAGATGGGCATGCATTGCTCACGCATTTTTACGCCAGCCCTATAAAAATGACAATCACTGCATATAAGGAGTATGTGTTTTTAAGGTCGAATTTAATAGTAGAAAATAAAGCAGACAACCTTGGGTCACAATTAAACAGAAGAACCTTGTATGAAGATCAGAGTGCTATAAGAAGAATTTTATAAGAATTACAATTTTGTAAGGGATTGGGTGGTGTTATTGATCGTTAAACCACTTACTTATAAAACACGGTGTCTTTATTATTGTACGTGAGGCAGTTCTCGATCATAAGCTTGAAGTCGGCCTCTAGATCGTCTATGGACTTGTAGGCGTCACGGTCAAGTTTCTTGCCCATTGTGCTGAGGTCCATTGGGTGCTTGACTATGGTACTGTAATCTGGTACCTAAGAAATATATCGGTTTAAAAAAGCTTAAGTGGTTTACAAATACGTCATTTTTAAAAATAAATCAAAATAGATGGATAATTAAATGAGCCCAAGAATATGTATATGTGTGATTATGTATGAGTGTATGTGCGAATCAGGGTTTTTGTTACTGTTTTAGGATGATAGAAAATAGCAGATGGTTGGGCTACTTAAGAAGTAGTTTTGAAGATAAATAATAAATTAGAAATAATTTTAATAGTTAAATGAAGATTAACTCGAGAAGTCAGTCATTAAAAATTTACAAGAAAATAGAGCGACTTCCAAAGTCGGAGAACGTAATATATAAAAACTTATGTAGGCACTGAGATGTAAGATCAGTAGAGTGCTTTTACAAGAGCGAGAGAGAGATTTTATATTTTTACAAAATAAGGAAAATATTTTAATCTTAACAGAGCTAGTATTTCAGCTACATTTTAAACTATGTGCGTACAAATCTTCTATGGCGGTTGTGTAATTAAACCAATAAATTAATTTACGTTGTCAAGCGCCAAAAAAAATTGGACAGTTACTACACCAAATTGATACATGTATAGTCTACGAGTATAAATTTATAGATTTCTAATGAAGAAAAGTCTTATAAAGAAATGAATAAAGTGTCGCTCTTTTTGCTCAAAACTATGTTATTATTATAAAATCATATGAACCACAAATAAATTCGTATAAAACATGTTTTTTATTCCTGAAAATTATTGAACTTTCTGTTCAAATCTGTTCTCTATTCGGGAAAGATACAAATTTAAAAGAAGGACATAGTGACACAGAAAACATAACGTTACGCGCATTTTCTAAACCAAGTCTTGCCTTTAGCCACTTTATTAGATTAAAAAAACCATATATTAGATGATTTCTTCTTAAATGTAAACAATTTTGAAGATTCTTATTTAAATGACTAAGCTATTAAGCATTTTAATAAGCATTTTTCTTTATGTTGAGTTATCCTAAGCGAAGCATTCCACTTACTGACGCACACTTGACAGAAACAAGGTTTTTCTTTCATTTCCAAGTCAGCATGGAAATTATATATACATTACATAAGACTTATAAAGCAAAAGTCTTTCTAAGTTAGTAGTCTACTTTTTATTCAAATACATTATACATTCCTTAATTTAGTATGGCAGAACACCACGAACCAAGCTGAAATCGTACTATGTGATGTTTTAAAGAATGCATTCAAAATTGTGCTGTTTTAACTGAAAAATACATACAGAGTATAATATTAATATAATTTTTGTGTGAAATATTTTTGTATTCAAATCGGCTATTAATAATAAAAAGAAATTTACTTTTGTTGAAGAGATAATATAAAAGTGTATAAGTAACTATGCGCTAACATCATACTGAATTTTATATTCTATCTATGTATATTCTACCTCATCGTTAATCATAGATACCTCTTGTAAATCGACAGGTTCAGTAAATATGTCGCTAGTGTCCTTCTGTCGTAGCAAACGTAGCAGTTTGTGTAGCGCAGCGCGCTCCGGTCGTAGAGAATGTAGCACGCAGCGCTCCCACACCCGGGTGTATTCCGCTTTTAGACGCTCACGTTTGCGAACTAATTCGCACAATAACCTTAAGAATAAAAGTGAAAGATAAGTTTACCGGCGGGAAGTTAGCAACGAGTGGCATCTCCTTAAAGGTTTTTTCATATCTAATTAGTAGGAATAGCCAAAGCCAGAAAGTTACTAACTGGAACAAATAAGTAAACGATGTGGCAAGAGCAAGATAGTATCATTTTCTCACTCACTCCAAACTCAGTAAACTGAAATAAAAATATATGGCTACTATATATACAGGTAAAAAAAAATACCTTGCCCGCTCCAAATCCTGTCGTATTCTCTGCCAATATTTGAGCTGATTGCAGAGTTCCCTCACATTTACAGTGCCATCTTGGATACCCCTGCTGCCTGTGACATAAAAAAGTAATTTTGCTAAAATACGAGTTTCTCATAATTTTTATAAAAGAGAAAAAAAAAGAACATTTAACTGGGTTCTGGTTGGGTATGGTTACATAATCATTTTACAATTTTTTGAGATAGAAAGAGAACAAAAAAAGAAGAGTTATTATGGATATAGGTTACGTACCATGGTGACTTGTCAAACTCTGTAACCTCCGAAGCAGAGGCACTCCATTCCTGCTATGCCGCTTGAGTGTCCAATAAGCAAGTAATCGTTTCATGAGCTGAGCTCGGGCGGCGGGAGTGCCTGGTGCCAAAGCAGCCACTTCAGCTACTCTATCAGCTGGTAAAGTTGGCACTAACACTACTGGTGCCCATGTTCGCTTTAGAGCTAAGACACGACGAGCCTAGGAAAATAAACAGCAGATGAATAGAATTTTAAAAGACAAATTTCGACCTTCTGTGTGTTTAACAGTAAATATTTAGATTCATTATAAGAGGTACACTGCAGGACATAGGCATAATAATTCGAATCCTTACTGAGCTTTCTTCAAATTACTTATTTTTCATTTAAATTTTAAGTTAGGAACAGATTTCAAGATTTCGGATTCATATAAAGAGTGTCTCTTGAGCTTCTTGTTACTAGCTTCACAATTAACTTATTCAGACTAACTTCAACTTCTGACAGTTCAAAATCTATTTAAAATTTAATTCAATTGAAATACACGATTTGATTTTATTTCAAAACGAGCAACACTAAATACCTGTTTTATTTTGTCACGACCCTTCTGCCTGATTGCTGACAGATCATTAGATTTGGAGTCACACTCGGATTCTTGTGCTTTTCTTTCCTAAAATTAATAAAAGAATTTAATATTCATTTTCTATACAATAAATGTTACATATATATGATACAATATATGATATTTCTTGATTACCTGTAATATATGCGCGGGCGTGTGAGCATCGCAGTAAGCCATTTTAGCGACCTGCACTGGTTGGCTAGGATCTCGACCCGCGCCTGCAGCCTCCATCTTCATGTATAAACTGAAATAAAAAGGGTAATGTAAATACGGAGACATTCCAGTACCTAAGAATTTGAAGTCTTTAAAAAACATTAATTCTGAAAACCAATGGTGTTTAAGAATCTATAACCCAGTTGAATAACTAGATATATTCCCACTTATTACCTATAGGATATTTTACTTTTCAATATACATATTTATTTTACTTGTTTAAACTGAATTACTACTGAAAAGAATAGTGTAAGTTACTTAGAAAACGTAAATCATTAAAAGATTCACTGTTTGCGTTTTGTCCACTCACCCGGCTTGCTGTGCACAAGTAACATGGAAAGCGGAATAGCAGCTGCTCTTATGACACTGTATACACGCGCCCACACTCCGCTGTTTGCACACCATACATTGCAGCTTCCACCGCGCCGCAGGGATCATCTCTATTGAATCTAAATACAAAAAAGTATTATTGCATATATATTATTATTTAATTAAAGTTTAATGCCTGTGTGTTCTTAGGACACTCATGACGATGAAGATAATTTTATTGAAATAGGGTTATGTACCTTTATTATTTTGTCATAATTGAGTTTTTCTATAAAATTGTGCTTTGGAAGACAAAAGGACTGAATAATTTTATTACGAAAGGAACTTGTACTTGTTGAATGAACATTATTTTTAAATAAAAAGTGCGGCATTTGCAAGTTATTTGTTTATCATTACATTGAATAGTTAGGTAATGGGTATGTTCATCAGAGTCTTATAACAGTGTTTGAGTCTTTATACAACCTAGTGATGCGACAACCTGAAAGCTTTGAATTTAAGAAGTTAGAATATTTGCTTAAAATTCTCAAAAATACTTACCAATGGGCTCCAAAAAAACGGTGTTGGCGAACCGCACTTCCGGTATCCATAGAGCACATACAACATGCGCCCATGTGCCTTGATCGGTTTGTTTGAAGGCACCTGATAACATTATAATAATAATTATAATTTGAGTAGGTCTACTCAATTAATTTCATTTATTTTCATCACTACTGTGATGCTATACAACTAAAGTCATAGTAAAACGACGGGATTCGATGATGCTCACCTCCAGTATTAGGACAGAGAGCACAATTCACTAGTCTAGATGGTGACTGCAAACATCGCCTACACAGCCACTGACCTTCAGGAATGTATGGCACCTATAAAAACATATTTATTGTGTAAAGTAAATTTATAACCAAATGAAGAAGACCACTTGTGAATAACAGATAGTAATTCATAGCAAAAGGTTCACTATTAATAATCATTTACTTCAGTCTTTTGGCCATAGTTCTCATACAAGATTGTTTAAATTACATATACAATAAATAATACAATTAAATTAAAGTTGTAATGTAACCTAATTTTAAATGAATTGTCTAATTGAAAATATTAAAAAACTCTAATGATAAAAATTTATAAAACTTTAATTGAAATAAATAAAATATCATTTAGAGAATACTTAAAAATCAGTAATTATTAGTAAAAATGTCTTTAATAATAAAAATTCAGGAAATTTGAAAGGAAAATAAATAAAACATCATTTAAAGAATCCTTAAAAATGAGTAAGGTCCTGTTCTACTCTGGAATGTAGCTTGTCTGACACTGGGAACATTTTCTAAGACATTTTTTCAAATATTACTTGCAACTTAACTAAACTCTAAACTTGTGCTTGCTTCTTGACAAAAAGCTTTTTTATGAGCCTTATCCATTATCCTAAAACTATTTCAGAAAAGGCTAAAGTATTTGATTGTGTATTTTTCAACATATTTATAAATATTTAGACCAAAATAGTAAAACCTTAAACTATACATGAACGCCACTATGTAACAGAAAAATTGTAACTTACTCCATAGCAGTCTTGATGCACAGCAAGATTACACATGTCACAGAACAAAATCACATTTGTATTTTGACACTCCCCATCCATACAAATACAGCATACAGCATCTTCATCTACGGTAGCTGCTGTTTGTTGACCATTCTGAGTTGCCTGAAAACGAAGGAGTATTTGTGTAAACTAGTAGACAATCCCACAATGCTTGTTTACAAATATGTTTATATTAAAAAAAACTACCTGACCCGGCAAACGTTGTTTTGCCATATACATTATGAAAAATAGATGTTGGTCGATTCTCAGACCTACCCAATTAGCACACAAAATATAACGAAAATCGGTCAAGCCGTTTCGGAGGAGTTCAAGCATGCACACCGTGACACGAGAATTTTATATATTAGATAGATATGAAATCTATACAAAATCTCTCCATCTCTTCTATCTAACCAATCCACCCTTTGGTTGTGGGTAGTTCAAGGCCTAAAAAGTCAGACAACAGTCTCTCTTCAGAACTACTATACTATAATCACTAAATAAAATATTGAAATGCAGCCATATCTTAGTAGACTTAAAGCCAACTCCAAAACAGTGTGGGAAAAATAATGGAAAGAAGAAGAAAATAATGGTTGAGTTTGAGTATATTTGAATGAGAATATTCAAAAAATTAATAGTAACAGATTAAAGTACTATTAGTAAAAATTGGAATGTATTAGAAATCAATGATGACAGGCGTAATAGCGTAATAGATATGGTCAACACATGCGGCTTCGACAGTGCCTGGAGATTGTTGGGTATAGGTTTAGGGAATACTCATTGCGACGTGTCACCGCTCACCTCCACTGTCTGCTCTACCTAACCATATTTGATATGAGCCTAGCAATGCCACTTTGGATATTAGTTCAAGAAGGAAGCTTACTGAAGCTCTTGGCAATCCAAGGTCTTTAAGCAGGTTATAGAGGGATTACAACTCAACGACATAACTATTTTTAGTTATTTAATTGGTTAAGTCTAAGTACTTGTTTCTTTTTAAAGTGTGGTCTTTAAATTCAATGAGAATGAGGCAAGTAAAATTTTTCAAATATTCCTTACTTGAAAATATGACTCTTTCTCAAGTCTATCCATCAACAACTCCAATGTATCAACAGTAACAGGGGGTAAACCATTCTTTGCTCTTGTCTTGTTGATGATAGCCAGCCAAGCAGTATCTTCTTCATCAACATCATATTCTACTTCTCCATCTAGCTCCTCAGCTGATTTCTCTATGAAACGAATATAGGCATTTGGCCGAGGCGGTGCATCTAACACATTGTAGTCAGGAATTATCTGTAAGCATAATGTTCTATTTATTTATAATATTTTGTTTGAAGCATGCATCATATTATATGTCTGCGATATAAGCAGTGATTAATAATAATAATATTTATTTCAGGCCCATGAAAAAATTACAAAAATATTTACAGTAGTTTACATCACCTGAAAGTGATTGAAGGGAATTACTTATAATAATAACATTAAAGACTGATTTTTGTCAGTCAATGTTGACTGTTTAAGAACTTATAAGCAGTGGGTAATATTTACGTTTATGTGTAAACATTAGTTCAATTTGCAAAATCTTCTATTGCATCACATACACTATGTATAGTAGGCCAAAACCTCATTTCTAAAGAGAGGCCTGTGTCCAGCAGTGGAATATTAGAGGCTATTGATGATGATGTGATATGCTGTGTAGAGAAAAGGGTAAGTTATTACCACCAACATTTTATTTAATACTTCATAGTCCACACATTCTTATGCAGCAGTAGAAGCAAGAACCTCAAGACTTCAGCTTTCTAATTATTTTCAAAAAGAAATCTTTTAGAACAACTGTAGCTCCTGCAAACTGTCTAAAGTATTAAATGAGGCCAAAAATAGTATTTTTAACAGTGTGTATAAACTTTACCTGAAAACTTGCTTCAGGTAACTTGACATAAGGTTCTGGAGGAGGTTCAACTACAGGCAATGGTTTCTCTAACTCAGCATTTTTTTTCTCCCATTCCTCCAAAGACATGATAGCTAGTGGCTGGTCTATTGCAATTCTACTGATCTTACCATCTATCTCAAATTGGACTACTTTTTGGGCTTCAGCAAAAGTTAAAGCTTCTTTAGGAGGGCTCTGAAGAGCTATATCTCCAGTTGGTACAGCGGCCCTGCCTCTTCCCTTTTTACGATGGTTGGCAACAGCAGGGGTCGCGGGCGTAGGGTTGTCGTGGTCATAATGAACTAGATGATACTGTAATCCACACAAGCTCTTGTAAACCTTGTCACACTTATCTAAAGGGCACTGATACGGCGGAGGCCGGTTTTGCCGCAGTTTTTTGCAAAATTCAAAGACATCGAAGTCCAAGCCCATTTTAGAAGCTTTAACGACACTAAGAAAGTTGCATCGTTTTATAACTGTAATAATCACTCGACAAACTTGACACGTTATACGGCCGAAAAAGATTAAAATAAATATAATAATTCCAAAATGCAAAAGTGAAAGGCTCTCGCTCTCAATCTCAAACAATTTTTAACATTTGTTTGAAGTAGGGATGTCAATTATAGTGTTTTATCTATGGATATGTCTAACTGACATCGATTTATTTGACAATCGATTTCTCAGCCCCAAAAAACGATCTTTTAAATCGATATTCAGCACTGAAACGATTCAGTGAATCGAAATTTCAACCTAGAACATCGAGTTTCGATTGTTTCTGTTTTAATAAAAACCAAAACATTATTCACAGCTAGTTGAGTGTACTCAACATAAATAATATGTAGAGTAGAGGAGCCTGAATTCAAACGAGAGCTAGCCTTAGATGCCTCTACATCAGAACGAGTTAATACGAAGGGCCCCGTTGGTGTCGCTTTTACAGCAACTCTATTCTCCATTCTACTCGATTCACGTAAAGAAAAAGCAGTTTACACTTAATTATAAATAATAGCAATGAAGTATGTGACTATCAGGGGATCATCTGTGCCTTGTGAGCGCCTTTTCTCGATTGCGGCAACATCCAAGTAATGAGCAGAACCGTTGGGATCAATGTAGACTTTACAGACTGTTGTTTCTTAAAAGCTTAGACATCAAGCACTGGGAGCTATAAACTATATTATATAATATATTTTCTAAACTAAGTAAAGGACAATGGCAGGCATGTATGGGACATTATTTTATATTATATATAATATATTATTATATAATATCATCTACAATTATAGTTTTAATTAATAGCTATGTATTTAGAACTTTGAGTTAAGTTCTTTCAGTTTGTAGTTTACATACAATATAAACTGTACTAAAGTCGATACCGATGATGGATTGCCATTGCTGTTAACCACAACCAGTTAACGTAGTGTGGGTACCATAATCTTAAAATCTTATAAACACACTATTATTGCTATCTTTGTAAACCTTTCTACTCTCAACGTTTCGAAATAGCAAGGTGTTGTTAATGGCAGTTAAATTACTTTTTTACACAATGTTCATGATTAATCTAATTTATTTAACAAAAATTATTAGTTACTTCTCTTAAATTCACGGATTTGAAAATAATTCATTCTTATACTTCATCTAATCTGTATAGTCACCCTTAGTAGTAAAATATGTTTGTTTTTAGCTGCTAAATACATTAGTGAACTCATTCGTAAATAGCGATTTAAACATACTTCGTTTGTATGTAATTTATATTTTATGCAAGATGAAGCTTAGAAAACGCGGGAATGCGTTTAAATGACAACAGTTTAACGTTTAGTTCCTGCAGTTGTAATAAGTTTTTGAGAAGAATTTATATACTTTTAGCAAAGTTTTAAGAATATGAAAATTTTACATAAAAATAGTTAAGATAATTCATTTTATTAACAGTTTAAATTATATAACCATCCATCATATGACTGACTCTCTCAAAAGAAATAAATTTTCTCCGTTTATGCAACATTTTTAATGATACTCGGCTCCTATTTGTCGTAGTGTGGTCCATCACTATAAGAATTTTTCGATTCGAACGAGTAGTTCCTGAGATTAGCACGTTCAACAAAACAAATAAACAAACAATGAAACTCTTCAGCTCTATAATATTAGTAAAGATAAAAGATCGGTTATTATGGAACCTTTCTCATTTCCATACAACGGATTTATAAAAAAAATACAATATACAAAAGTAATTTATATATATATATATTATACAAAGTAGATTTTTAGGAAACTGTTCTTTTATACCTGGATTTTTTGTGGATCGATTCGATCAATCTTTTTCGAATTAATCGCCATCGGCATCCCTAGTTGAAGCAGTGTGCAACACTGCGTCAACTAGGGATGGCGATTATTGCTTATGCGATACTTGCAATGCTTTACTATATTTTTTTTCACAATTGCCCTCATAAAAGAAATGCATTAAAACAGAAATCGATTTGAGCTCCTTTGAGTCGATTGCTCCATCGGAATTCGATGATTCTCAACTTAAATCGACTATAAGTTTGAGTTAATACAATAGACTACATAGAATTTTCAAGAATATTCAGTGTCAGTTTGACAACATACGTTTGTTGTTGTGTAGCGTACGAAAGTTACGTGTTAGTTAAATTTGTATAAATTGTAATCAAATATTGCAGTAACTTAAATCTGACTTATAATGGATGTGTATGGGTTTCCGCCTTATCCGTACAATCAGTCGGATGAATTGGCTAAGCAAACCTTTGCTCAGCAGGCTTTAGGTTCGACGGTTCCTTACCCTAATCGTATGTTACCGGAGCCTCACGTAATGCCTGTGCCTACTGGAGCACCTTGGAACGTTCATGGTGTCTCGTGGGGTATGCCATCACCCCCAGGGCTTGTACATTTTACGGCGGCGGGTAGACAGGCTTTAAACGCACAGGAGCAAAGGCTAAGTCCACTTATATATTGCAAAAGAAAAAGTTTGGATGTAGAACCGGTAATGTAAGTATCCCCATAAAAAACAGAAATAAAGTTAAGATGGTGTAGGGTTTGAATAATTCAAACAAATTGCTCCTTCAGTCATCTTTATATTTATAACAATTGAAATCAATTTGCTATTCCGAATCTAATATAAAATAACGAGAGATCTGCTTTGGTTTCATTCTGTTTCAAGTTTGTTCATGTATTGCTAAATATATATTTTTTGTTCTATTACATCACTTTTAAATTAAATACTTGGCTTTCAATTCGACAAAACCCTGCATTCTTATAAAGAAAGCTGTCTCTTCTTGCAAAGTTTTAAAATGCTGTAAAAAGACTGTAATATCTAAATAACAAAGAGGATTATTAAAATCTTATTAATAACTATGAAGACTATTTTTGGAGGTTAACCAACTTCAATAAACAACATAACAACTGTTTTAGTTGTGGATGTGATCTGTCTGACCTCTATACTGTTCCTGCTTCTTCTACTTGTTGACACACCAGCTCTTAGTTATCAACTGATATTTTCTCACTCTAATGTCTTAATATAAATGTGGTGGCGGATTAAGAATAGGAGTCACCACCCCTATTCATCCAGTGGGTGTTGTAATAGCTGATTAAAGGAGCAAACTAACTATAAGGAGAAGAAAAACTTGACACTAATTCTATACCAACCCGTCTGGCCAGCATGGTATAGTAGGTCAAAACCTCCTTTCTTAGGAGAGGCCTAGGTCCAGCAGTGGACTATCACAGGCTATTGATGTGAATGTGTTAATATATTACAGACCGGCAAAGCAACGGATTACTGAAGAAAAAATGGCAGCTCACTTAAGTGGGTTGCACATATCATCAGAATATACCTCTCATTCTCTAGCAGCAGATGACACTATGGACATAAATATGGAACCACCCACACCATCTACATCATCTTTGTCAGCCATGGAGAAGCTAAAGGGACACACAATAGTGCTCTCCGAGGAGCTAAAGAAGCTACAAGATGAGCCACTATTACCTGCTGCACTTATTGAAAGGTAATATGTTAAGCAGTGAAGCTATCTATACAAATAAATAAAATTGAAGTGTCTGTTTGTAATGTCAAAATAATAGTTTTTTTTTCATGCTTACATGGTTATTTGCACAATATCTATGGGTAAAAAAACCAGTTTAAATATTTTTTGTCTGTCTGTGTTTCTGTCTGTCTGTCTGATTGTTCCGGGTAATCTTCAAAACGGCTGGACCGATTTTGATAATATTTCATTACCAAGAAGCTGTCTACATCCTTATGTAGGGTTTAGAGAAAGTTTTTCTGAGAAAAACAAATAGCCTAAGGTACTCCTTGTACCCCTATAAAATTTTGCCTGAACCGAGAATCAAACTCACTAACGCAGCGCTTTTCAAATTCCACGTGAACGAAGTCGCAGGTACCAGCTAGTTTTATATGTATTTTACGGCGATTGTACGTCAAAATCATAGGTTAGGTGATTATTTGCACAACACATATGCCTAAAAACCAGCTTTAATATTTTTTATTTGTATGTTTGTTCCGGGTAATCTTCAAAATGGCTGGACGGATTTTAATAATATTTTGCTACCAGGTAGCTGTCTATATAAGTAGTAACTTAGGCTATTTTTCATTACAAAAAACCCCTATAAAATTTTGCCTGGTCTGGGAATCAAACTCGAGGCCTCATGGATTGCAGTCATGTACCGTACTACACCACTAAGGTAGCACTTTTCAAATCCCACACGAACATAGTCGTGGGTACCAGCTAGTATTTAATAATAGAAAAGCAAACCCTACTTTCTTCTAGAGAGCTTGTTTTCCTGACAAATTAACACAGAGAAGATGATACAGTACTTAGTGCTTTTGATATAAGCAGAAGTAAAATGTTTTAGACCTGTAAGCAATATCTATTATTTAAAGGGTTCATCATTTTAGAGAATCATATTGTATTTCTGTTCTGTTTTACCTATGTTAAACGTTCTTTGTTAAATTTCTTTCCATTCAGTCAAGTGTCTTATGGTTGTTGTTTTTTGTTTTCTAGAATGGAGAAGCCCCGAATGTCCCTAGTGGTATGGAAGCCGAGAGAAAACATTTTAGAAACACTAAAAGAAGATGAGAAGCAAAACAAAGATGAGCAGGAGCCACAAAGAAGAAATGGAGTTCTTGTCCACCAATTAGTTGATGATGTTGATATGTGATGATAATAGGCAGAATATCATATAAGACTATGACACTATGTACCTTTTGAAAGTCGAATGTAAGTCAAAATTAGATAATCTAAATTAATATGTGAATCATGTATGGTTCATTTTAAATGTTTTCGTGAAAGGAAGAAATGACAGAAAGAGATAGATCATTTGATTACCTACTACTTAAGTAAAACAGCTGTGAGAAATTGCAAGCAACAAGTGCAATGTTATTGCATCACCTTGGATTGCTATGTAATTCTCTGTTTTAACTTGGCTTTTCTCATTTCACTTCCACACACAGTAATTAATATGTACAGAATAATAAATACTTGTGTTTACACTGTAGTTCCATGCAAGTCTCGAATCTCGAAATATCGACAACAAAATTTAAAAGTAAATCTGAAACAGTAAATTATAAAAATAAATGTGTAGATATATTTCAATGGGAATAGACGTAAAACAGAAAACTTTAGACAATTTTTTAGTCACCTGATTCAGAATTGTTAACCATTCCTAATCTGAAAATGTTTAAAATGAACCTATCTTTATCCTAGATAGTGTTTAATACATATGATCTAAAAACTAAGTGTTTTTTTCTGTCATCGCGTATTTCGTTAGAATGTTTGTGTCTATTGCAGTGTCTTCTATTTGATTTAATACTTAGGATAATAAGCAATTAATGTGATTAAAAAAATATTGTATGAATAAATTAGAAATAGGCAACTAAGCTTATGTGGTTTAATTAAGTTGTAGCCGATCCCTTATTTACCAATACGTATAGGTGTAGCTAATTGTGAATTTATAAAATTAATTCTTGGTAGTAACTATTGAAGCCCCTAGAAATACCAGAGCATTACGCGCTGTCTCTGTCATAAGGATCTATATACTATTGAAATTGTAATTCATTTACTGATTAGAGAAGCCGAATCGAATGTATCATAAGTTATTTTAATGTATACTGACTTAATAAAACTTCATTATACAGAATGTTACAGAAAGGTATCATATAACTTAGGGTGATATAGTAGACTCTGTAAAAATATAAAAGATAACAATTTTAAGACAATTTATTATTTAACAGAGAAATCTTATTTTGAAATAACATATTGAATTTGTTGTTTTAATATGAACATGTACGACTTGAGACGAGGAATTTAGATTTTACAGAAAGTGCATATTTCTTGTATTAATGTTTTTTTTAAACATTTTTTTCAGAATATGCTCGCCATTAAAAGTGTGACCACACTTTTTGTAACAGTGTGTATAATTAAGCGAATTTATGTAAGTAATGTGGGCACATAATCTGGAATGCACCTGAAAATAGTTTTAGTTTGTATTATAAGTTTGTTTAATCTATCATAATCTTTTAATATTTCTTGTAGAAGGTTTGTAATTGAGTTATTTGCGTTGAGAGATAGAGAGGCCTGATTTTTTGAAAAGAATCCATCATGAGTTTTTGAATTCACAAGAGACAATGAGATAGGTAAGGTTTATCATAAAAAATTAAGCATGCGTAAGAACTTTTTAGAGAAAAGAGTTAATTTTTCTTAATCTTACAAATATTAGTAGTGTATAAATTGCTATTCTGTCGTCTATTGTTGGTCTAAAGCTAAAAGAAAGAATTTGGATTTTTATTGGAAATGAAGTTTGTGCAAGATTGACCGGTTTTTTACTGTATAATCTAGTAATAAATGTAAGTAAAACTGTTGTATTTGCTTTAGTTTTCTTTTCAAAGAATGATCGACTACTTATCCCGACTGGTTCTTATCCCGACTGATTTTTATGTAAAAGTTTATTTTTATTATCATATTACTATGAATCTTATTTTAATGTGTGCGTATTACGGCTTTAAAACGAAATGCATAATTTCTTTTTTTCTACACCAAATACTTTGCTACAATAAAGCGCTGACCTGATTAGGCAGGTATAAGCATGAAAAGTTACTATTATAATTTTATGGTCACGGTTTCAAACTTCTAAATTAACGCAATCAAAACATAATACATAAATTTTAATATTTCTCAGGTAAATCGAAACCTATAGGGTATTTTTCTTTTTCATATAAGGAGAGAACTATAAGAGAGCCATGCTTTGCTTGCATGTATGTGCCGGCTCAGCTGGAGTGAACCATGGCCTCACAAAAAAACCGGTCAGCAGGTACGAGTCAAACTCGTGCGCCGAGGGTTCTGTACCTATCCAGATTTTACGTAGATTTTCGCGATTTTTTTTTTTTGGAATTATTCCTTAATTTGTGCTGTAAGACGTTTCTTTTTGCCAAATTTCGTGATTCTAGGTCAACGGGAACTACCAAATAGGTTCTCGACTCAAAACCTATAAGGTACTTCCGGTTGACCTAGAATTGTCAATTTTGGTTAAAAGCAAGATCTTACAGCACAAGTAAGAAGAAGATTCTGAAAAATAAAAAAAGTTGAAAATTAAGGTAAATTTTGGTACTTACAAGTTTTCGCGAAAATCTAAATTTGACCATATCTTTTTGGCGTGTTGACTCAGGACCTTGATTTTTATACACCTAATAGGGACCATAGACCTCAGTATCTGGTATAAATTTCAACTTGCTAGGTCTACCCGTTCCTGAGAAAATCAGTAGTGACACACGGACAGACGGACAAGAAAGTGATCTTATAAGGGTTCCTTTTATACCTTTTGAGGTACGGAACCCTAAAAACGATGTTACATCTTTCTTTGTTTAACTGTTTTTGTAAGGTTACCGGTGATCCAATCCACCTTCCCACCAAGGTTTCGCTTACTGTCAAGTTACCTTACTTGATACCCATAAAAAACAAAAACAATCAAAGCATAAAGAAATAGAAGTAGGTAAGGACTAACAGCAAAATTAATAAAATCTGAATGTCATTTTGTTGTTCTTTTGCTTATTAAATTACGATTATAAAGAAAATAATTTGCGGTTGCAAAATTACTTTACGAAGTTCAAAACGGGAACCTACAACTTTCGGAGCGCGAGACATTGTCGAACTTGTCCGGTTTTTTTTAGGCAGTATTCCACAGGAAATCTGCCTCTGGAAATTGTACCTTTTTTTTTTTTTTTTTTTTTCCGTGCGGAAATCCCCTCGGATACCACCTGTCATGTCGGACTCGAACCGACTAAAACCGCACGCCTTCGCCGGGTACTAATAGCCGGGGAACCAGGTATACCCTAGAAAGGAAGTCCCTGGTGCTGGAAATTGTACCTGGTATCATATTTGGCATGGCCAACGGCCAAATGTTTGCGTGGTTGTCAGTCAGACGGACATAGTATGTTTTCATAAATAATATACAACATTAAATAATAATACATTTCATTTATTTTTATAACATCATTTTATTTCTTAAAATATAACAGATTCTCTTTTTTGTTACAATACTGATAGAATTTGAAATACAAGTCACACAATTATTGGTCCATATTATAACAATATATCGATTCTTACAGTCTTACCCAAGTTGTACATTACAATTACATTTTATGATATCCTGTTAATAACTCTTTGGTTGAGGAAAAAAGGCGTTTTATTGAATTTAGTAAAACGTGCTTGCACTATCGGGCCTAAGCTTAAGTAACCAACTAATGTTGCTACTATAAAAAAATCTTATTAAATTTGATAAGATCTGAATTTCAGTTACATACACAACAGCACCATTTATATTATTTCTTAAAACAAAAGTACATGCGATTTTCACCTTACGACATTTAACATAAGGTATATTATAAAACTCATTGTACTTTTGGAACAACTCTCTTAACAAGTCACTCGTATTATTTATTACCTTCTACTTATAAATTACTATAGTTTTTCATTAAATATTCGAATTTTATGTATATTTACAAATTCATTGAAACAGTAAAATTATTTGATAACAATGTCTTTCAGAATTATGCACTATTTACACACACAATATTATAAAGAAAAGTCGCCAACCTGCCTGACGTTGGTGTCTTATTTGATATGAAAAAAAAAAACGTCGAAAAACAATTCGATGGATAATATCGTTCACACTCCTTATCCATTCATAAAGGCAATATTCTCATTTATTTCACCATAATTTATGTTTAGTTGCCAAAGTGTCCAGTTGAAGGTAATAGGCTCGTCGCCTATTGCTTGAATGGAACCTAATTATAGTTGGCAAAGTGTAGGTGTTCTGTATACCCTGGAGAAGAGATTCACGAAAAAGCACATATTAATTTGGCTCTGACCACATTACCAGTAAATATGCAACACTAAGCTAGTTATTCACTAGCGTAGTGTTGCGTAGTCAATATAGAGTGTTGGTAATTAACCAGCTGTTTATTATTAATATTATTATATGAAAAAAGGAAATTTTTTTAATGGAATTAATTATGGCAATTGTATTATTAATTTATATTAATATGACCGATAATAGGTCTGATATGGTGTCGAAGACTCATGGCAGTTAGACGTATCAGTTATTTAAATAAATTTTGTAATAATAATTGCATTTATGTGATGAAATTAAACATATGTTTGTGGTCAAAATTGAGTAAATTATATTAATTATTTGATTAAAAATTCAAACAAAACGGAAGTCTAGATATCCAATTTTATAATTATTTATACCTATGCAGTGTTAAACAAAAAAAGTACAGGTAGGTATAGAATTGATTACATATTGTTATGTTTCCTATACTGAATTTTGGCACAATATTATTTACTTATTGTCATAAATTAGAAAAAGCACACATACCAAACTAATTCACAAGTAAAAATCTTAAATTATATAAATAATTTATATTTTTCGTTAAATATCGAGTCAACATTTCGTAATTCGTATCTTTTTAAGTGATAACAAATCACTCTAAAACTATCTTTATTTTATAGAATACTTACATATTTTGATTATAAATATTTTTTTACAAGATCTTTTTGACAATGCTAGTATTCTGGCATTTGTTTTCTTAATTTTATTGATTGCCTCGTATCAACCAAATCATAAAGGGGCTTTAAAAATTAACAGTACAACTCATGAGATTTCTTTCTTTCTTGCAATCTTTCGAGTAGTTACAATTTCAGACCTTATTTCTCTGTCACGTTTAGGTACAATATAAATAGTCTCGTAACTCTACAAGATCTTTTGAGAATGCTATCCCTATGTTTACACCGAACTTTTACTGAGTGATTTCATAGAAATTTGGCATCGAAACATACCTAAAAGTGAATATGCACTTTGTGCTAACCCGTTTAAAAAGCGGTTTTGGTGCCTCCATGAATCACTTAAAGTCGACGTGTAAGCATAGTAATCAACACAAGATTTCTACAAGTCAGTAATAGCAGAGTACTGTTAAAGTTAGCAATACTGCAATATGGCATTAACTTAAAACGTGATCTGCAGCACCAACATTAAAGCACCGTATGGGCCAACATTATTGTAGTGTAGTTACACATTTACCGTGATCAGTTGAGAATACCGAGATTTCCAATAATATTTTATTTTTAAATTAAAACATGTTAACCTTGACAGTAGCAGTATCTAAATCCCGCTTCATGCTTTCTAATTGCTCTATGTCTTGATGTGAGGTCTCGCACTTCTGCACCACCAAAGAATGATAGAAGTGAATTGCAAACGCTACGAAAACTATTAATACTGAAATGGAAATAAAAGAATCCAATATAATATTTTGCTATATGCATAGTATTTTTATAATAAATAAATAATTGTGGAATAATTGTAGGTTACGTTATCATAAACACAGGTGTAATTTTTTAATTGGCAAATAAGCACCGTTCATTTTGAAGTCTTTTTTTTTTGGAAATATGCTAACCCGTGGACTAATGAACATATCGGAAAAAGTTTTGTGGTTATGATTACGTGACGTACATTTAAATATTATTTTGTTTATCTAGTGCAGCTAGATATGTATGTTGGAACATTACGTGGACTTCATAATTGAGTAAGGAGTTTTGGCGAGGTAACCAAATGGTAATAAACCAAAATTGAGTCAACATATGTTTAATAAAACTTTTAAACCACCTAAAGGTGGTTTAATAAAACTTTTAAACCACCTAAAGGTGGTTTAAAAGGTTTATTGAACATATGTTGACTCAATTTTGTTGTAATACTCTTAGTAGCAATAAAGTAAAATATTAAAAGTTGAATTCGAAATCTGTATGTACGGTGCAGATAAAGGGTAGACGATTTTAGGTTTACCCAAATTAGTTAATGTTAGAAAGTTAGAAACACTGAAAGTTAGACTAGAGGCACACCACGAACAAGTAACAAAACAATGAACTGAAACTGGTAGTGTACCAAAACTCGTTACTGCGTCGTCACTGGAATCACAAGTCACCTTTTTAGACTTGAACAAGTTTTTTTTTCAGTAGGTAACAGATTTTTATTTTTGATGCCAGTTGAACCCGCTCGACCGGAGTCATACAACGGCTTCACAGAAAATTCTTTTGTAGCTTGCCACCGAGTGAGTGAGGTAACCGGAGCCCCAAACCCCACGTTCCTTAATTCTGGGTGGGGTGGGGGAGGGGGTGACTTTATGACTTAAGATGCAAGTTTCCATTGACAGCGGTAGACACTAACCATCAGGTGATTCATCTGCTCGTTTACCATAAAATACTTATAATAGTGTTTTTATGAATAATGTTTACACCTCATGGTCCCCCATCCCGTCCCCCCATGGTCTTTTGCTTTATTGATTCTTTTTATTCATCTGTATGAAAGAACGTGATCGCTTATGCTTGGGCATAAGATATCTGGTGCTTAGATTTTCTTCTAATCGCCTCTTTGCAAAAGGCCCTAGCTATGCACATACAAACATACTAAGTGATTTGTGTTTCTTAAACTAGGTTGTGGTCGGCTTTAAGGCTACTACGACACGACTAAACTTCGATTTTTTATGTGAAGCGACTGCCATCAGACCTCCACAATTCAAGCACTATGTGATATACACACAAAGTTAAATACATTAAAAAAAAAACAGTATATTAAAAACATACCTTGCACATAGACCAACACAATAAAAGGTAAATGTTCACTTACAGTACAATAAGTGGTATGATTGTACCTGGTATGACGATGACTGTTGCAGCGGTGGCGGCTGCGAACGAGTAGTCCCAGAATTTCACCCAACAAAGGATCGCTATCTCCACCAAGAAGAGGAAAAGACCTGGAGATGACGAGAATGATTAATTGGATTTTTTTTTGTATTAAAGAAAAGACAACTCTCGCACTAGGAATACATCCTGTGTCGCGGGGGATTTTTACAAACATACATGAAACGGAAACAAAGAACACCCAGAATTAGAACGACAATTTGTGGATTACGCACAGTGTCGTCCCATGTGGGGATAAAACCTACAACACTCACCGTAGTAGGAAGCGGCGTGGCGACCGCTTAAACCATTACGCCATCCGTGCAGTAATTCTTTATAACTTAGCTTAGGCCTTATAACCAGACGGTTTGGTGATTGCATTTTGACCTGCAGAGTGGTACAGGTACCTGATAACTTATCTACCTGGCTGCTGTTTATTTTAAGTTGTATTTTTAAATGTACAAGCGTTTATGTCAAAAAATACCTACAGATCTGCTTTTTACCACAACAGATTCTGAAAAATAATAATTTTTTATTCGGTTTCTTTGGATTTTTTTAAATTTGATAAATACCTATAATCTACACGCTACAGAATGCATTGCATCTTACCTAAAACTGTACTAAAAGCCCAAGCCAGTTCGATGAATCCTCTCATTCTTTCATGAGGCGAGTCTCTTAACATTCTGGCGGGGGCTCCAGGAGTTTCCATCTTGCTGACTGCGTCGATGTTGGGCAGCAAGTATGTCGAGATCATGAGAGCGAATATGTGCACTGCGACCAGTACCGTGGTGCAGACTGCGAACATCACGAATAACCATTCGGGTACGTTCGTCGGCTCGTTTATTTGAAGTTCCACCATTGCCACCATTGCGAAACCTGGAATATAAGTTGGATTTGTTGCAACTTCATATCATATCTTTAAAGCTGATGTACAAACAACTCTTAGAAAATATTTTGTTCCTTACAAACAAATCGGAACAATATGACCTGGGCATATGTTCGAATTCGATACAAAAGTAATGCTGGTAATCTAGAGCCAGAAAATAGGCAAAGGACAGGCGATTACATGATAACATATTATACTGGTATATTAAAATTGTTGTTTTTTCCAGAAACTCTCTTCTTGACAATTAGTCTGTCATTTGCCTTCGATCTACCTTACCGATCTACCCTGATAGAAGTTACTAGTAATCATTGAATCCTTTCTTTATTATATGCAAAGGCAAGCTTAAGCCAAATCTAAGTTTTCTTCTAGCGAACGTTAGGACTGAATATAGCATAGAAGAGAACGTTATGGGCAAAGTCATGTAAACGTAGAAAAAAGAATAATTTAAATTAATAAGTTTTTTTTTTTTTTTATTACGGGAGCTTACAGCTACAGTGCAACTACATCAGTAATTTAGTTGTTGAAAAACCAATAACAAGCTTAAACAGATACACAAGAAACATTCTACTTAAGTTACATTCTAAATAAATAATTAAAGATGTAAATAGATGAAAACAAATGAAAACACATGCAAAACCAAGAGTCACAGCTCACAATGCAGTAGTGCAGGCAACACTATCAGCAAATCTGACGGTTGTAATCAATATAGTAATAGTTACCAGAGAGTAGTTCAGAGGTGGTAGCGGTGGCTTTAAGCTTTGCGCGCGACATGTGCAGCCGTCGCCACGAGAGACCCTCAGAGCTCTGTGGCTGTTCCTCGTTCCAGCCGGGGGATACTGGCATTGTGAGAGCTACTTCACTAACGCTCTGGAATAAGAACTTATATATTTACAAAACATAATTCTAGCTTCTCTATGTTCTGAGCTAGAAAAAGCTACAGAAGGGTAAATCTGAATGTAGACATGGAATGATGTCTTAGGCTAACTCACTCACTCACTCACTCATCATGCTACCCGATTTAGAGCAAGTCAAACTAAGTTAGCAGACTATCGGAATACATTTTGTCCTTTCGAAGACATAAATATATTTAAAGTTCTGCAAATTATTGAGAAGACAATACCCTGATTTGACAAATAGTAGCAGTAAGGTATCGACAAAATAACTTAAAGATTTGGTTATATATTTCTAACTGCCATTCAAGTCTTCCGGAGAGCTTCGTACAAATTGGATTAAATAGTGTTTGAGCTTAAATCTAAGACAGGTTTAAGTTTAGCACTTTCGTGGTATATATTCTCTTGAGTCTTCTTATCATTTTGAACATTGTTAATGGTAGAAACAGACTGCTGTATCGCTGTACATCAGTAGTTACATTTAGATAAACCTCATTACGATTGCAGTCTTTATCAATACACCATTGAGTTAAAAATGGAGTTTTGCAAGTATTCTGACATGCTCACCTTAATGGATTGGTTACATTGACAAGGGTTCTGTAGATAGCTCGGGCTGAGCAGTACCGTTGCCGCGGACTTGTTGGACGCCATCCCGTTAGGTGTAACGCTGCCGTTGGGGCTTCCACCACCCTTAGAACATACGTATTCTAAGCTGTGGGGTGGAGTCAGAGATATTGTGGGACTGTCTGTTACACTTACTTTGAACCTGGAAAAGGTAAAAAAGATGGCGTTGTAGGTTTTCTAAAACTCTTGTTGAAAAATACAGAGACAAAACAAGAACGAGTTAATTATTATTAGTAACACGTCTTTACACATAATTAAGCATTTTTGAAATGAATGTTTGGCTATGACAAACACGTGATACTTGTAGAATATTTCCATGTATTGAAGTAAATAGGGAATGGAATGATAATGCTTATCCGTCGACAATCGTACATCTTACTGTTTTTTTTTAGTAAAGTGTGAAACAGCGTCTTCTGTTGCACAATTGTAATATTAGTGGAAGTGTTATATAAGCCAAGTAGCAAGATGCACCAGAATGACTTCTGAGAAGAATATCCTCCATTTAAAGTGCAATCAAACACTTAAATCGGTACGTTTGTACAGATATTAATTTTGATATATAGTAGTCTCATTTTTATTCAGCTAGAACGATGTGGATCAAATTAAATTGTTTTCTGGTTTAACAGTTAAAAACATTTAATAACTGTGCTGATGAATGGGTATAATTTGACATATTTGCTGATATGTTCCACTTCTTTCAAGATCTTCCACTAATTATTATGAATAACAGATACACAACAGAATAACTTTACAGATCAACAAACCACTTTACACAAGCTAATCGTATCACTGAATGTTTAAAAAATAATATAAAAGAATGACTTCATGCTAATGATGATGATAACTACGATGATTTTTAGCTTTTGGGAATGGCAAATATAAACAACGTGTTAAGAAAAAAATTTACGCCATATAATAGAGCAGTTGTAACCATTCAAAATTGAATGCAGTTGTTGTCATGTTAAAAGTTCTGTTTTTACAGGCGTTAAACAGTAATATTGTAATTTTAACAAATGTTTTGTTCATTGCAATAATAAAAGATCAGGCTGCGATCTACAGAAGCCAACTAGTGATTATAAAAGTAATAGTAATAGTATAAAAGTAGTAATATAAAAGTAATAATTATAAATAGTAAAAAATGATCTATGAATTTGATATATACACACATCTACCTCTAAATTAAATGCGGATTGTATCTTTCAGAAGGAAATATACAGAAACCAACTATGAACATAACTTTTTGACTTAGAAAAAAGCTTTATTTTAGAATTGTTTAAAGCGTTAAATCCGATTTTGACACTAATTCTGTATAAAAGCACTGAGACTCTGGTAAACCTTTCCATGATTTTAAATTTTACATCGTACACAACAGGTGTACGATGTGAAATATAAAATCAAAATATGTTTAATGAGTATTGTGACCGCTGTCAAAGGTCAATTTCAACTAATTGTTAGTCCAAAACAGTAACAGTCAGTCATAAAAGAACTTTGATCTCATCGAGACGCGTGACTGTAATTATTATAAAACTCAAGACACGTTTGCTTCACACCTACATATATTTTTCCCAAATACGTATCATTCGTCCGAATACATTATAATATAACACATTACGCCAAACTGAAATATGACGTCTTAAAAATTCCTTGATGCGGCCATCTCCATTTGCTGTTTGGGAATTGAAAGCATGAGGTCGATCATAGCCAAGCAGATGTTAAGGTTGGTTTTTATTATTATACATGTATACATGTATATTATACATGTATATATGTGAACTTTGTATCGTACCGAATAAAGCACAATGATCATGAGTATTCGGATACGAGATCATAATATGATAGTCTTAAGTAACTTTGAGTTTAGTTGTATTGTAAGTAATGTTATTACAGTAGTTATACTGCTATAGTTCAACACCTATATTTCAAAACACCGCACCCTTTTATTACTTATTCTATAGAATGAAACACCTGCAGATCAGCCTTAAATAAATAAATATTATTCTTCAAACCGATTACTGGCCACAATAATAGTTATACGTTATAAAGTACATTACAATATATCACTTTTATCTTTACCATTAGTATAAGTATTTACGATATTGTAGAATTCTTTGTTGCTGAAAACGTTAGACGGTGGAAACAAAATTCAGCGTGGAGACCAAAAGTGAAAATAAATTCTAAGCTATCTAAGACCTATTCATCCCATGGGTGACGTAGGAGCCGACTAAGGGAGCAAATTACGCAGGACAACAGCACTGCCAATAGAAGAAAAACTTGAAACAAACCTTATACCAACCCGTCTAGCACACCTTGGTATAGTAGGCCTAACAAAACCTCCTTTCTAAGGAGAGACCTATATTTAGCAGTGGACTGTTATAGGCTGTTCATTGATATCTAAGACACTGATCCACTAAGTAAGCCGTAAAAACTCATAATAGAAATTCACTATTGTAAACTTTATGCTGATTTTCTTGTCATGTAAATAGGATAAAAAATCAAAGTCATTATGAACCAAAGCCGATCAAAAGATACGAACGTAAAGGTGTATTTATAAAGATGTAGTTAGGTATACTATTGTTCGACTTACCTGAAATATGAATTTGAATCGAGATTACTTCGTAATATTTAAAAATTGTACTTCTCAGACATCTGCAACACTTTTTGATCACTTAAGTACTAACGCGATTACAATAGAAGCGATTACCAAAACACGAACTTAACATCGCAAATTGCTTTCATAATATTGAAAATTGTAGTTTTTGCTATCATTTACAACATTTATTTTTTATATATAGTTGTTTTTTTTCATTAACTACCTACCATGGTTGATATTACTTTAAATAGCGGAAATATTTACCTTTAGTAAAAAATATATGCTCCTACCTCGCTTATTCACAAGTTGGAAGAAAAGATAGTAACGAAAGTGGGTAGGCATGATTTGAGTGATAGGTATGCAGTTGTCAGTGTGAAAAGTATAGTAATCTGAGGTGAATTCTAACACGAAACAATAGGTAATTATTATAACAACAGTGACAACTTGAAAGACAGCATTATTATTTTTGAAAATGTGTAACAATGTTTTTTATGTATTTCATATTTAAACATTTCTGTTAATGTGTCGTCCGTGTACTGACGGATTAAGAATACGGAGTGTCACCACCCCAATTCATCCCGTGTTAGGGAGCAAACTACGCAGGACAACAGCACTGCAAAGAGAAGGAAAACTTGACACACCTTATACCAACCCGTCTGGCCACCGTGGTAAAGTAGGCCAAAACCTCCTTTTTAAGGTAAGGCATATGTCCAGCAGTGGACTATTAAAGGCTGTTGATGTGTTAAGGTGTAGTTTGTAAAATGTAAATATATACTTACCTACATACATTTAAACGTACCTATCTACTTGACTTTTTATTGTGTTGGAACTCCGGCAACGCAATTTGAATGAATAACCAATATCTATAATAAATTGGCATTATTTTTATATAAATTAGACATCGACTTGCCTTTATATTCTCAATAATTCAATTCAATTTAATACCTATAACATAGCTTTGAATAATTTTTACATTATATTTCATAATCCTCAAGTAAATTTAATAATTCTTGACATTTTATTTAATCTTTTTTTTTCCATTTATTGACACAAAAAGTACATTACGGTGTTAGCTGTAAAACGTCACAAAACCTTAACAGGTTTGTCTGGACGTTGGATAACATTGTATTTTGACATTGTAATTACTAATGCTTCCTGGAAATATTTGTACACTGGAAACATCAGAATATTATGTCTAACACTTGTACCTCAACAATATTCTGACAAATAAATATATATTAAAAAAAATATAAATTTGACAGATTGTATTTCTTAAAATATTTACCTCACGTTGCATATAATTTATTAATAGCACCGCAAATAAGTGACATACGATCGACTTGAAAACGTACCTACCTAACTTTTTCTTATTATCCCATTTTTACTTTTTCCTTATCTATCATCCTTTAAGGGGTTGAAAATTGGGTGGAAGTTGTCTGGCGAATAAATAATGGCTAAACCGATTCCGATGAAATTTGTTATGGAGATAGTTTGATTTTTGAGAAAGGACATTGACTTCTTTTTACGATAACCGACATACATGCGGGGCAAGAGCTAGTTATAAAATAAAAAATTGTTAAAGGACAATACAGATAGCAGATAGGATTGGCATAAAGTGCATTCATATAACTTGAATTTTGTAGTGTAATATCTACATCTAGGAATCTATGTCTAGTAATACAGTAGTTAGTTATTGTAATATCTAATCTGATTTAGCGTATACAAAATCTTGTATCTTATATTACTATCATAACAAGGCCTCTGAAAATTCAGAGATTCAGATTGAGTTTTACATAATTTTACTGTAATTAAAATTTATACAAAAGTTGAATAATGCACAACAGTACTTTAAGTACCTTTTAATAGTTGGCAGCTTTCGATGATTTCTCTTTTAAAACTTTTAATCATTTCGTTTCTGATATACATATCACCTATTCCGGATCAGCTTTTAATAATCGTTCATTCGATATTCTGGACACCTATCCTCATATCGAATACCTAATTAATCCATAAAGAATTTAATACCCAAAGACATAGGAATGCGAACTCGTTTAGTATTTTTAAAAGAAAACTCAAGAAATATGTCCTCGAAAATATGTTACCACCAATAGTTACCTATAATATGAAATCATTGCAAGCATATTAAGCATTTAAAACATATAACAAAAGTTTTATTTTATATTAAAAAAAAACAAAAAAAAACTACTAATACGATCGTGTAAAATGAAGCAGTACCTACTACGGTGTTCTAACCTGTATTGTGACCACGAGTCCGCATTCTTCACGCCTATAGTCCGTCTCTAGTCGTGGATAATTTTGAGTAACCACACAAATTGATTAGTATCAAAACAATAATGTAACCGTTCAAATTGTTAATTGTTTAACGAAAAAAACGTAATTTTTAAATGTTTGAGTGATGAAGTATAATATATCATTGTGTTAATATATTCTCATGTAAATGACTTGTAAATTTATTTTTAAAAAAATTAATTCTTTATCCACAATTAATTTATAATTAATTCTAACTACTGCAATGATGGGGTCTATGGAGCCTCGGTTGAAACGAAGTTACACATTTTTCGGTCTTGCTCCCATCCGCTCAGAGCGTGTAACGCGTTATAAGGAACTTCATTCCAATTATACTATACAACAGAAATCAATCGCTCGTCACATCCATATCACTGAAAAAAATATTATTTTACTTTTTGTTTCTTATTTTTTCATTTGTACATATAAGTAGGTATGTAGACAGATGGGTTAAGAGCCAGCGAGACGACCGAAAGCAATAATTTAGCAGACATACTGTACAGGAATTCAATTTAAACATTAATTAAAGAGAGAAGAAACAAGTATTGTACGTTGAAGCAAGAAGACCTAAGCAACATTCATAGCTACTGTATTTAAACAGTACACACATAAATGTTAACTTCATACACCGGTAACCTAGAATGCTTATTTATTAGTAACTCGTTATTAGTAACGGTAGTGGTACTGAGTTTAGTATAATGTTAACTATTGTGTTAAAGGACAGAATGGTGAGTATTATGTATAACATAGGTGCAAGCATGGTGCACCGATCTTAGTCACAGGTGGACTGGTATTTCAAAAATAGTTTAGTACAGTCAGCATCGGATTCAAATACGAAAAGTAGTAAGTAATTATATGTTTACGATCACACTAAACAAATTGTTGAAAAAAAGCACAGAAGAGTGCTCAAAATTATGATAGCGACCAAGTTTTCAATAATAAGTAGGTATGTTATGTATCAAAATGTTAATCTCAGTGCATATCTGATGTCACTGTACAGATAGATCTGTTTAACTTTAAATACACAGATTTCCTAGTTGATTGTTTTGGTCCAAGAAAACTTGTTGGAATGAACTCTTCCATTTAAGCTTTTGTCAATTGGTTAAGTTGAAGGGAAGCTAAGTATAAACATTTAATTTCAACTTAATGTTACAGAGAGTAGTACGATAAATTTGATTATTTCGCATGCTTATATGACTTTGATGCGGACTGTACCAAGTTTACTGTTTTAATAGGAGGATTGCGTAATTGGTTTACTAATAATTATGTTAGCTTTGTGTAACTCATACGGGCTGTGTTCGATTACCGTTATGAAAATTACCTACTTTTTTATATCTACTGCAATGTTAATGCACGAAAATGACGATGTAAAGAGTGGAATAGGTACTACCGAGGCACTGGACAATAGACAAAGACCACGAACAAATTTATTAGTCACAACACCTGAACTAAAACTGATCTTACTTTGAGTACTCATAACTCGGTGGCTTCGCTATGAAGGGGTAGGAGTCGGTCAATAGACTCTTTGGTCGTGAGTCGTGCTTGAGACGGTATCTGTGAGGTGATCGCTCGTAGATGTGGTCTGATGTGAGGTACCTTTGCAAGGTGCGCGGACGCGGCTTGCCGCTTGGAGGAGTTTGTGTGCATTGGTCTACCCGGCAGGCATCTTCCAAGCTCGTCACGAAGCTTGCTTCCGAAATCTGAAACAAATATTGTCAATTAAGTTATAGCTTAATTGTACTGCAGCTCTTTACTTATCTCCGGACCGTCACCCCACCGGGGTTTGCGGCGGGGTGGTGTGTCGGAAACCGCTCGACTCCCGACTCCATGGTAACTCTATAACTACATGGTTTTACTGAAAAGGTTATTGAAATTGTGTGAGTTACGCCTATACAAAGTTGTTTCGTCTTTAAAAGTATAGAACGTCAAACGGTACCTCTTAGATTAGATGGACTATAACACATGAACAACATATACATACACTTATCGAAATATGTAATTATATGTACACATGTCTAATTGTCTAGTACGGGCAATCGAGGGTTGTATGCATAATACCCGAGATGATGATTATATTCATTTGTTTTTATAGCCGCATGTGGTTTTAATACTCTATCATTTTTTCTTCTTAGTTCTGCATCATAAACTCCATCTGTAAAAACTATGATATTTTGTAAATTTAGAGTGCTAGGTATGTAAGAATTTCAAATAATAGCTTTCATTATCGTTTGCTATTGATCTGGTAGGATAATGCCTCTATGTCCTATAATCGCGAAAGTTTAATTGGCCATGTGCCTACAACAAAAAAGAATATTTAATTGAATAAATGTACCTCGCACTGTATTGTAAATACAATATTCATACATGTACCTACCTGTGTATACATTACATAGGTAGGCAAATGTATACATGTACACACATATTGGTACTACTATAGGTACCGATACCATTAGTTTTTAAAATTCTATATGGAACAACAACAAACGAACAGACGGGTCACCGAACGGGAGTGACTACCCATGGAAACCTACAACTTAAGTCAGATATGCGGGAAGTACGGAGCGTACGCTCTTTCCTTAGAGATTTTAAGGGACCTTACAGTATTAAGACTGGTAGATATTATGTAGGCCGTTCTTTCTTGGAATTGGAAATGAACAAGTAGGTTTTTTAATTAGTCAGTCATTCTCCTTTAATCATCTAATATTCTGGATCATACTCGTAACACCATACACAGGACTGTTTAGACCTCGACTAAGTATTGCCTATGCCAAATGTTCCAAAAAAGGCCTTTGTACATAGGTACTTTGATTATATTTCATTTTAAAATATGATACACTACTTCACATTCCAAAGAGCTAGTTTGCTAATCTAAAATGGGAAGTAAATATTTTTGGTTATATACAGTTTAGCAGTTTTCAATCATGTGCTTTATATCAAAACGGGTAAGGTTATTTACTCGCACCCAGGAAATATTTTATCGCAGCATTAAATATTACTTTTATTGTCAGGATTAATAGCTTACACTCTAGCTATGCCAGTATAATATCAGTATCGAACCCAAATAAACCGCTTCTTTAGGTTGGACACTAATATTATATCATATTGTCAGGCGATATAAAACATTAGTACCTACAATTTAAGGAAACGTGCACTCATTCTGGTAACAATATTTTAGTTTGATTAACCGAATAGTAGAAAATAATATCTATATTTATATAAAAATGTTAAGTCCGTTTGTGTGCGCTTCAAAAACTCAACAAGTCCTGCACATATTGAGCACAAATTTAGACACGATATACGACCTGCTTTATAAATTGTTTTTATCTATTTTTCAAGCCAGTTTTGTTCCTCACATCACATCACTACATTAGAGATTAGCCTCTCCTTAGAAAGGAGGTTTTGGCCTACTTTACCACGCTGGTCAGACGGGTTGGTATAGGGTTTGTGTCAAGTTTTCCTTCTCTTTGTAGTGCTGTTGTCCTGCATAGTTTGTTCCTTTAGTCGGCTCTTGCGACACCCCCGCGGCCACAGGATGAATAAGGATCGTGACACTGTATTAGTAATCCGTCACCACACGGATATTTTCTTCCTCATTTCTCATAAATGCAACCACAATGAGCCATAGCGGAGCATAGCTCGGTACAGCTAGTGTATAATTAAATTGCTATGCAATTGAAAATTGTAATTTGTTAGGCAATAAAAAAAAATTGGTGGATTTCTTTTGATAATTAGGGCAGTGACATACGGTTTGAATATAAATAAGTAGGTACTATAACGTTTTTGAAAAGCAAAAAACGGAGGTTTTGACGTACCAACCAAATTTTATGTTTGGGCAGTCGTAAGACAATACATACCTAAGCATTATGAAGTTTCCAATATTAAAGGTAAATAACTTTTTTGCAGCTTTGTTTACCATGTGATGTGACAAGTTGCTTTTTATTACTAAAAACACGAGCTAAACGAGCCGTGACAACGACTGTGGGAACGATAGAAAACTGTAATTCCACTGATTGTAGGTGTAGGCTCACGATTACTGGGTGACATTGTACGTTAAAACGTGCAACGCACTGAAAATGGAAACCATTGTTTTACGACAATAACACATTTTTTTATATTTTTTTCACCATGTTTGTAACTAGTGGATCAGAGCAAATCCAATTCGCCCTGTACCTGATCAGTTAGTGGGAGAGATACATTTGTCGTGATCGTCACAAATTATGAGAATTAAGGACGTTGCTCGTCCCTAATTCTATAATTTGGGACTGGAAATATTGGTGTGTAGGAACATGGGTTCTAATCGTAGATAATTACGTAAATTTCTTTCTAAACATTATTTTGGCAAAGGCCGCAAAAACTAGACTGTATAAATTTGACAATATTAAAATTGACATCGAATAAATTAAACCTTTGTGGATTACAAACCTCACATGGGACGACACTTTGTGTGATCCACAAATTGTTGTTCTGAGTCTGGGTGTTCTTTGTGTCCGTTTCATGTATGTTTGTAAAGTCCCCCGCGACACAGGATTTATTCCTAATGCGGGCGTTGTCTTTTTATAAAAGAGAAAAAAGAGAAAAGATTAATAAAGGTCATCAATGATTTTTTAAGGAGGATTATCTAATAACATATAATACGAGTATTTACTAAACAACAGTCGTGAATTCACAATAATGTAAGTTGAGTTCGCGAGTGTCATTTGTTATTCTTCACATTTAATGACACATAAGAGGGGCGAAATCAATTATTTTCTTTACATCAGATAAGAGGTACACGTCACTCGTGTACAAAGAGATAATTACGAAGATGTACCTACTCTGTACTAACTGTTAAAATGGCGCTGGGTAATGCGAAAACTCACAATAATTTTAGATTTTTTTTAGAAAACAATTCTACTAGCGTTAGGAGTTCTTAATTGCGGGTCTATCTGTCGAGGAATTTCTTTGCTTACAGTAAACTTTAGCGATTGATTTACGTTTTTTTAAATAAAATATCTGAAAAAGAATGGACAAAGAATAGACATTTTTCTTTTTTTTTCTCCTCCTCCTCCTTTGTGTCTCTTACGTTAGTGAAATTAATTATGGTCCTGCTTCAGTTCGGGAGATTATACATCCCAAATTTTTTTTTAAGCTGGAGTCCCCATGTGGTTGTCAAATATAATCTAACTAAGTACCTACTACTAACTACTAGCCCTAGACTTTATGTTCTTCATCATTTTATCTGAAAGCAATGTTTTTAAATCACACGCTATACATTTGGGCAGAGTTGTTCATTTTAATGTGTTCAGCTTCATTCTATGTTTACATTTATGTAAATTGTATCACTATCTTCAAATATGTTTGACTTAGATTTTAGTGATTAAATTAGACATCTTGTTTATGTGGCATGGTTAGAGAACTTCGATCGAACAAAATTTGATATGGCATATTATACGTAATATGCTTTAACAAGTTTTAAAACTAAAGCATTTAGCAAATTCAATAATTTGTGACGTTAAAATGTTTTTTTTTTAATCTCGGCTATATGAAAAACAAAGTAAATATTTTAAACATTGTTGTTATTGATTTTTCACTTTAACTTCGAAGAGGGCGGGCAGGGCGTTAAAGTTGAGTCCGATTTTGAACACCGTCTTGCATATTTGGCTATTAAGGTTTTCTCATCGTGTCCATTTGATTACTTATACATATATGTATACTTTATTCATTCAATAACTGTGGAATCGCTATGTATTCAATAAAGTGTATAAGTGAAACAATAAAACAATGTTATTTATAAACTAACTCATTAATGTATCACCTAATTTCCGTGTGAGACTTCAAGGACATTGCGTAGCGAGTACGTCGGAGTGAAAAGGACTAAAACCATCTATTAGTGAACTAATATAATGAACGGTGAAATAAACACACAAAAAACTATTCTGGAATTTAATCCATATCTTTTTGCTAAGAAATTGCTAAAGCTATTATTTATTACTTATAAAGTTATAAGGAAACGTTATGGGATTTTAAGGCTGTACTGTGTAGCGTATTGTCTATCCTTCGTGCTCTAAGCCGAAAGGTAACAGGGATTTATACCTTTTTTTGAAAACTATTTTTTTATTGATCCTTAGACAGCAATAAATTACAAAAAAAATACCTAAATTTTATTTAATGCATAAATGACATACCTACAATTAATTTTACATTTTCGCATTCAACTGCATGTTACTATCCTTATGACTAGTGATGGAGATAAAACAAAACATCCCACGTCGAGGTTTTACACTGTCCGTAATTAAGCGGATCTAAAATCAGGCATTATGGCAAAACAAAATCTAAACATGAAAGAGCTAATTCTATTCTTGCTAGATACTAACCTATCAAGATTAAGCTCTTTCACTACACAAATACTAATTTTGCATTTACTTTGTGGAGCAATTTGCAATTTACTTGGATTTCGTTACTTGCTTTCTGTTTCGAATATGTAGTAAAGATTAAAAGAAAACATGAAAACCTTGAACTAAATAGAAAAGTTTAATTTCTCCATTAATGAACTAAAACTAACATGTGCCGATTAAGTATCGCCTCAATTTTATGCAGTGTGTTTAACTTAACTATTATGTTTTTTGACATAATTATTAGCACCTACATTTTTTACATTCACAGGGTAAAAAACCTTTTAGCTTAATTAACAGGCATGAAGTTTATATTGGTACTAGATGTT